CTTTTCTGTCACAAGAAAAACGACACGTTTCTATATAAATTATTATACTATGAAGAACAATTAATTTTAGCGTTTGTACTGTCACATATTTTGCGACATATTTATACATGTCTATTACTATAATAATGACATAACTTTCTCATGTCAACAAAGAATATGAAAACAAAGAATGGCCATATGCCCGGCTAAGGCACTGAACTAAATATTAATACGATAAAGACTATTGATAAGCATAAATCCGGTGTTAGTGTTGAAAAATTAGTAATCTAAATCGAAAACTTTCTAAATCAACTTGTTTAAATTTAGGTAATAACAGATTATCCAAAGTGCCCAGAACTGAAAAAGTTATTACTTTGCATAATAAACTTCAAAGTCTAAACATAAAAGATTATACTGTAAATAGACTTACTGATAGTGAACTAACCAACTTAAAAATTCTTATTCGGATAACAAACTATCTGATGGCAGAAAAACAAAGCTAGATGCTTTAGGTTTACCAACAGAAGGAGATACATAAATTAATGCCATAGAACCTTAACTAATTTCTATTAATAATCCTGATATCAAATGAAGCAGGATGAGAAGGAAAATAGCAGTTAAAACTGCCCTAATCTTACTTCTTTGGTAGATGATAATTGTCAATTAGAAGAGTTAGTAATTGAAGATTGCCCTAATATAAAACCTTATCTTTTCAACATGTCGTGCCAACTACTGCGGGAGAGCGATTAATTAAACTCATGTGTGAAAGTGTTGTAAAGCATTATCGTACTTGTAAATTTTGCCGTAGCAGAACAGCTCATCAGAAAAAGACAGCAAAAAAGAAAATACCACTTGAACTGGAAGAAAACGAAGATTATGACAATGTAGACTTTTTTGAAATATTAGAGCCGATTTTTGATAATCAGCAAAGGAAATGGCAGGTGACTTGGCGGAAATCATTGAAGATATAGATGAATTTGCGTGTTGTTATCATGTTGATTTTAATGTTAAGTCTTATCCTCTCAAAATGTTATCATCAGTCTTATGCAGGGAGATATGCAACAACCTACTGGTATTACTGTTCAGGTTTGGCAGGTAAGATACATCAAAGCATTGAAACACAACATCCATGGATCGGGTTGACTGTAATAGTCAAATCTAGCGGAAAGTTGTTGCGCGCGCAATACGTTGTCCCGATATAGGTAACGTCCTTGTGAAACCACCGGAGCTGCGCAGAATCGGGGAATATACTAATACGTAGTTCTTTATACGACGATTCGTTCCCTGGCCGATATAATTGTGAACTGCGTTTGAGATATATATAGGTATACCCCAACCTGTAGGCTTCCATCGAAAAGAAATAGTCGATTAACTCGAGGGCGAATAACTGTTTAGGACTAAGTCTAGGACTAATGTCCACCGATCGACATAATTTACAGATCACTAATACTAATACTAACTGTCGAAATAGCTAAATCCCAAGGTCAACGATCGATAATTTTTTTGTGCCTTTGCCGCTAACTGTTTTGAACTCCTGAAATCTTTTTATTATTACGGCGCTATTGTACCATATTAATATGTGCTGTAAATTGCCGATTAATTCCGATTAATTGAAAGTTAATTGTCACACTCCCTTCGCCGGCACAAGGAGTGTGATTGCACTCCAACAAATGGAGGGTGAGACACGAGCAATTTTTACAACAAATCCCTTTATTATAATACTTAATACGTATGCTGAATAAGTGTTATATGCAACTCAACCAACCAATTCAATATTACTATACTATATGTTTATTCCTCATCGTCATCATCATCCTCCTCTTCGGCTTCCTCAAGCCATTTGGCGAAAGGCATTGCCTTGTTCCTAACCTCTTTGCTAATTGTCTCACTTACATACATATTGTCAGCTGTCTTTTTAAACAAAGCCTTATAACTAGCGGAGTCTTTACCCTCAATCCAAGCTTGAATAACCTCTTCACATAAGATATCGTTCTGATAGAGTTCCATGAGAATTTTGCAGATAATCCTGCTTTCAAAAAGTTCTCTACGTTCAACCCCGACGAGCATAGAAATGGCTCCAAGGAGAATATGCTGATCGTCTGTAGTTTGAACAAACTGCGTAGAGTATGAAAATTACGATTTATCAGTATTATGACTATAACAATAAACAAACCTAGTACACTAAATAGTTTAAAACAAGATCAAATTATAAAGTAGTTGCATACCTTCAGGAATATCTTTGCCCTTTTCTTGATTTGCTTCGTAATTGATGTATCTTTCTTGAAACTGTCGTCAAACAATCCCAAAACGAGTTTCTGCAATACTTGTTCTTTGTCTTTGGCAATACCAAACTGCTTGATCATGCCGTAAATCTCTTTATTGCCCAAAGTTTTATTCTCCTCCAGCCATTCTCCAAATGACTCTTTCTCATCATCATCGTCGTCATCATAGTCGTCATCCAATACAAGCGCTTTCGTAACGTTCGCCTCCAAGTCTCTCATCCGTTCTTTAACTGCCTCCGCAGAAGTATCAACAGCCCAATCATCCTCATCGACACCAGTTTCTTCAGCCGTGGGCAACATTGCGGCTTCTTCTCGGATGCGTCGTGTAAGTTCGTCGTCCGAGCCCTCCGAGGAGTTGGTTGTCGGCGATACTGGACCGTTTTCTGATTTAGATTTCTTGGTTTTGTCGGACTTTTCTTTTTTGGATTTACCCTTGGGAGGGTTTGGTGGATTCTTCAGAATAAAAGTAACAAGTTTATGGCGCATATCGACTTCGGTTCGTTGGCCGCAGGCCTTGCAATCACGGATAATTTTTTCGTTTTTCGGTATGATGATCTAAAGAAAGAAAGAAAGAATTAGTCGATAAGTATTCCACTACAATTTAACATTCATCCAATCTCGTTCGACTTGGACAATCGATCTTACCAAATCAGTCTCAGGATTATTACATTCACCACAAAGTACATATTTCTTTATGAATGCATCAAGTAATTCTTGAAGTTTAGCGGCTTCGTGAGCGCCATTAACAATATAACGATCATTCTTTTCATCACATTTTACTTGGGCACCAAGCTCACATCCAAAGAATTTCGTGGCGTCTAGGGGGGGCACATTTGATAATGCGAATCAGTATCACTCTCAATATAAATTAAAAGGTCCTGTTCAAATACTTACAAGCTGGTGGACGTCCCAGGGAACGGGCGATATCGGACATATTAGGAACAACAGTCTTTATCCCGTTTCCCCTACCTTCAATCTAAACGCATGAAATTTGTTTATGGTTAGAGTGACGAGGCAATCAAATACAATACGCTCACGTGACATTTATCATATTACGAATCCTCTACCTTTGCAATAAGTTTTGGCATTTTATACCGATAGAAACGGTCCTTTTCATTTCCGCCAATATTGAGGGTACTCATGTTTAGTAAATCCCTACAACATAATACATTTTACGAGAGAAATGTTAGAGAGAGAAACACAAAAAGCCTGTCATAATACAACCGCTTTACGTATTCTAAAGGAAGCTAGCACAATTATACATACGACGATATGTATGTACTTTTTGTCTAGTAATATTGCTTACGTTTGTGCTTCGTCAACTGTTTCCTATAAAAATTTTGGCGCTTATGAACAAAAGTATAACTATTTTCGTTTGGTGAACAAAACATGAAGTGGTCGAGGGGTTTGAAATAGAGGGGGGAAAAGCCAAAGTTTCTTCAAAAAAAACGAGTAAAAAAATGGTGTTCTCAGGATAAGATAGGTTGACAAGGTAGGGGTCGCTTTTTGTAAAGAGTTGGGGATGGCGAAAATGACGGAGTAAGATGAAAATTTTTCGTATTTATAATTTTTTTCGACCAATCCTCGTCCTTGGCTTATTAGGCTTACAATCACATGATATATGAACGCACATGGCGTGTTTTTTAATTTCCCATGTGACCGGATCGTACTAAAGTTTATCACCTAAAATTTATTGCTTACTTCAATAATTTATAAACGTTATACTTTATTAATCTGCACCGCTAAAGTCGACATCAAATGTAACGGACAAATTTTCACTTCCTAGTCTGCTCTCTTACTTCTGTGAGCTAATCCCAGGCCGACTTTCCGTCACCGCCATTCCCAATACCTCCGCTCTCATTCTCTCTTATTATTCGCTCCCAAGCTTCAACATCAAACGCGCGCATTCTCTTCTCTTTACTCCGTTTATCAGAGAAATCTTTCACAGCTACGACCCCCGTGACATTTACACTACCCAACACACCACTTGCCGAAGTGGGTAGTTCTATAGTTGGAGATGTAGCTTTGGGGAGATCCGATAGTGATGCTAAGGAATGCACCTCCGTTTGATCCTCAGTATCCCCTTCTCGCCGCGATACTGTTGAGTTCTCTAGTGGACTCGACTTCTTCGGCTTCTTATTATTTACATCATCCTCACTCTCTCTCTTGTGCTTGCTACTTTTCTGTTTCTCCCTCGCATATTTCTCTTTCTCGATTTTAACTTGTTTCCTCATATAGTCTTTATCGTCCTCCAAGTCGTCATTCTTATTCTGGCTTTCCCCATATCCTGTGTTTTTATTTCCTTTCATGTTCTCGCTTATATCTTCTGTCCCATGATCGATCTTCAATGTTCCTTCATATCTCTTTCCTTCTTCATCATCATTTTCGTACTTCTGATTTGCAAGCCTTTCGTTCTTTTCTTTCTTTTTCTCTTTCCTTTTCCTTATTGCCTCTTGAGCTTTTAAGAATTGGGCTCGTTTTGACTTTATTTCTAAGTACTTCGGATCAAATCTGTCACCGTCAAGGATTCGAAGAGAAGGTACTAGAGATACAACCTGAAAACAATTATGAAAAAGTCGATTTAGCTGTAGTTTTTTGTTTAGAGTAGAGCGTCAAGAACTAGGAAGCTTATATGGCAATTACATATACCTTGTCGCGATTGTAATCTGTTCGTGAGCAAATAGGATTCCCTTTTAAACCCAAGTTATGCAAATTTTTCAATGAAGATAGCACTTCGATATCTCTAAACAACGACTAGTTATTAAAGATTTTCGTGATCCCAACTTCTTATGCTTCATAAAATCCTACCTCCAATTTTCAATCTCATTATGTCCGACTTCAAATACCTCTAACGCGATACATTCCTTCAAGGACTCTGGTAGGGTTTTAATATTGTTATGACTTAATCTCAATTCTTTCAATTTTGTATTAAATGATAGATCCGGAGTTTCCGTTATTGAGTTGTGAGTTGCAGAGAGTTTGATTAAGTCTGTTAGACGAGGAAAAGGTGGGAGAACGGCTATCTTGTTATGCGAAAGAACTTGAACACATAAACACCAGAAAGCGTGAATGCAGCCGTTAAAAGTTAAACATCGGATTAGCATGGCATTGTATTAGACAGTATCATAAATGCGAAGCTTTCTTACCTATTGTATTCAATGTGGTTAAACTTCCAATATATTCAACTTCTGTGATTTCGTTATTGTTTAGCATCAAAGCATTAAGCCGCATGAGGAAGAGCAAATGCGATGATATTCGCGATATTTTGTTATTCGAAAGATACAACACTAGGTTTCATGCGTTTCAACCAAAAGGATGAGAGTAAGAAAAACGATTCTAGATGTCTTCACAACTCAATCACATACAGGAATGCACTTTATTCCTCTATCCTTGATCGGATTAGAAAGCGACTATGTGGCATGTTAGTTGTAGGGCTAATATCAATTTAATAGTTTTCGTCAAGCACACATCAATAGAGTCGCATTATTGAGCAAATGCCATACAATTTCCAAACATACGTTCCACAAGTTTTTGTTCTGGAACACTCTTTTCTCCTACCAACCATTTAGATTCCGACACTTTCCCAGTCCATCGCAACTCTGCAGTTCATTATAAGACAAATTGAGCCATTTAATCTTCTCTAATTGCAACTTCTCCAGGCCACCGAGAGAATTCAATTTGTTTTTCGACAGATCCACTCGTTCCGGTGGGTAAGCAGTGAGAGGAATTGACGCGAGAGAAGTGAGGTTGCGAGAAGAGAGAGAAAGGGTGACAGGAGAGGGATTGGCAGCAGACTTGTTTTTTGATTTTGGTCGGTCAGTTTTGAGGTTACTTGACTTCGGCATATTCGAACCAAAAATACGTGTGGGTTGCAGAAAAGTTTTATGCCAATCCGACCTATCAAAAATAGGAATTAATGAACACAAAAATTCATTTCGAGAAACTGTTTTTTTGGGGAATGACAATACATTTCGTGAGTTGGTCAATGCAGAAAGCATTCAAGGGATAGACATGAAAACATTCTTGACAAAGCTCGTTCTGGGTGGTGTCCTTGCGAAGCAGTGACAAAGTCAGCTGACCTAAAGGAACGCAAAACCTTCATCAACATTGACCTCAAAATTCCCAATATTCCATGTTGTCAAGATCTTATTCCTTCGAATCAAGAAAGTTTTACTAGTGTTGAAATTTGGCAATGGCTGTTCAGAGGCAGTCGTTGACACCATCCCAAAAGCTGACTATGAGAAGTACCTTCCAGAGTTGGCAGAATGGTCCGCAACATTGCACAGATGTTAATGGAGACTACTTTGAGGGAATCAAAATAATTGTACTTCCGGTCCAGAAACACCGCAAGTTCTCCTTTATTCACTAGAATCATCAAAATAAAGAATAATGTGTGCAGACCTCGAAAACTCAAAATAAAGAATAGAGACAAAACTTTCCCGGTATGGCAAAATTCTGTATCTTATTTTGGGGGTGTACGACGATCTTAGTCATAATAGAAATACATGATATGCAAACTTTTGGTCGGACACAACAATGTCTTACTTTCTTCCTCACTTGACTAACGGTAACTATTATTATTATCCACATATTTTAAGCAAAACGTTGCTAATTTAATATCTGATTCTTTGCTTCTAAGGGTGGCAAGTTGACCAAGCCATTCTGTCAGAAGAAGATAGGGTGGTTGTGATTAGGTTTGGACATGATTGGGTGAGTATTAATGTGTCTATGAGGATAGAGTAGTAAGTAAACATAACTCACATTAGTTTGAATGCAGGATCCGACGTGTATGAAGATGGACGAGACGTTGTATGGTATCGCTGAGAAGGTCAAGAATTTTGCTGTCATTTACTTGGTGAGCTATGCATGCTAAGTAAAAAGTGAATTATTTATCGTTTAAGCTTACGCTTACTGACCTGCTGCTTTTGTAGGCTGACATTACTGAAGTACCCGATTTTAATAAAGTAATTATGACTGCTCTCTAACATTAAGGCTGTTTCTGTATACGATCTAACTCAAATGATTTCTTTGTAGATGTACGAACTTTATGATCCATGCACTGTGATGTTTTTCTTCCGCAACAAACACATAATGATCGATTTAGGAACAGGAAACAATAACAAAATCAATTGGGTAAGCAATAGAGTAATACTGAATCTAAACTATAATTTCCGACGCCATATTTAGCATTTCGCATCTCTTTCATTATCAATCAATCACTCATTATCAATCACCCATTTGCACAGGCGCTTGAGGACAAACAAGAACTTATAGACATAATTGAGACTGTTTATCGGGGAGCACGAAAGGGGAGAGGTCTTGTTGTATCCCCGAAGGACTATTCTACGAAATATAAATACTAAGGAAAAAACAATATATTGTATAACAGCTATTAGGTATTATGTTTAGTTTCTGTCGGAAAAATCGGTGCATGGAGATAGCGAGCGTAATGGGAGACGAGATCGACGGCATGGTATAGAAAGATTAGAGAACTGAGTACAACGTGAATAGTAATGTAAAAGTTAATAAATCCCTACTGTTCTAGAAAAAGAGTGGAAGGAAGTATATAGACTTTGATGTTACCCTGACCGCAAAAAATATGACGGCGTTGACCTAGCCTGGGTTCTTCTCGGAGGGTTCATTCAGATTTTGCCCAATGGCCGGTTAGCCAAATTGAAAAACATCAACCTTCTTTAACTTCACGAACCCTTGACTCTGCTGATAAAGAAAAAGTGGTGGCGGTGTCGATATGCTATGTAGGAGGAAGAGTAGAAGGATAGTTAACGAAAACCGGGAGAAAACAGAAGGAACACTTGGAAACGTGATTTCGCCGGCAATAATAGTTACTCGAACAGATGAATCAGGGTACTTGGATCGAAAGTTTGCAAATTTTATAGTGCAGCATTCAGGCATTAGCAAGTTACGAAGAATGGTCATCTTCGGATTAACTAGGTTTGTTCTCAATAATCCGAACTTGCTATTGGATTCAATAATTATTCGGTTTACAACTTAAGTCTTTATTATTGTTTAGTTAGATTATCACAACGTACACAAAATGGTTCTACACGCTTTCACCTGCTAACATCTGATTATGTCGTCTCGCTTTGAGGTGCGAAAAAACTGTCAAGATATAGTTGTCGCTTACTTTGTGTTTCAAGTACTTTAATCATTCTCTAAGATCGACTACAAGGCGGGATTGATGACGAATTTTGTCGCATATTCTTGTCGATGCTTTCATCCTCGTATTCTTCACACGGTTCTGGTGTTTCAATGCTTGTGACAATTTCTAAAACGTCTTCATCAATTGGTATTCTCTCAGTTTCTCCAAGTAAATGATTATCTATCTCGGCAATCTTCAATTCTTTCTTTTGTCTTTTTGGCTTACGGTTCATTATGTTCAAAGAGAGAGTTAAGCTTTATAAGCTGATGAGATTCTTCGGATTAACAAAAATCTTCGGATTAACGAGGAATTTTTATATAAGTTTTTCACAACTGCCTTCGGATTGCGGATTATACATAAAAATTCGGATAAACGAGGTTAATTTCTTATTAATAAATCGGGACCAGAATATTTCTTCGGATTAACGAGGTTGACTATGTATATTTGATTCCCGTGTATTGTACTCTTTCCGACAACCTTCCTCTTTATCCGTACATCCTTTCTGGCTCCTTCCATACCACCAATCTTTCCACACTTTCTGATCAGGCTCCATCACACGACTAATTCGCCTGTTCCGTCAGTGACTAGTATCAGAAGCATGTCCTTGTCATTTCAAACAGTGAATATGTTTAGATCTATCTCCAGCGACTAAGACTGTCAACCCTTAGTAAACAGATCCGTTCACAGGACCACCGGCACGATAAGCTTGTAGATTCCGGCCATGTGTAAAATTAATACTATCAATCGAACACCTTGCCTCAATTTGTTAAATTATGACAATCGCAACAATAGAGATCGATATATAGATAACGTACTATCGAACAGATCGAAAGCATATTAGAGTTAAATATGTGATTGCAATAGCGAATGCTGCGCTAAACAATGTCCCATCATTGGCTCAAGCCCCCACTTTTTTACATTCGCTTCAGGGTGATTTTGATACTTGTTGTTGCGGAATTGATAGATGTTTATTGTAGAAGACGAGTCTCGACTATGTGAGTGTCTAATTAGGGTAGTGTGAACACGTAACATATGTGAAAAGGAACAGTAAAAAGTAATCCATAAGTATATCGCACATTTTTCCATTCATCTCTGAACAGAACATGCTCACGATTCCAACCAAAACAGTTGAGGAGTAAGCGGAGTCCACACTACAGTAACGCGTGGAACCATCAAAAAGGAGGAAGATCGGCCTCTTCGAAAGGAGGAGTAAACGGATTATAATCAGACACTAAAACATCCGTAACGCTCAGTCACGATGATTTGACCTATTACTATGCTGGTGTTGACGGCAACAACATAGACGCGTTCAGAGTTCGAAAGTCTTGCTTACGCGATAATTACTCTTCATATGGGGATCGGCTTACGAATCAGTTGACTGCGATTATTACTGAAAGAAAATAGCGCGCAGGAAAGATGAAATTAATTGATAGGCTTGAGCTAGATCATGCCATACTTGACTGAAAATGATCCAACTTTGAGAAGGAAGATTGACAGGAACCATATTCATGCTCTTCAAACGGTGAATAAGATTTACACAGGCATCTTCATCGCTTATCGTTATACAACATGAAATAAATTCATTCGCCGGACAGTTATTCAATTTCTTTATGAGGAATGCTGCAATAAAAGCAGCAGGCAAAATGAAATAAAATTTAGAGTCAGTTCTAACCTATCATCGGCAATAAAATTAATTGTATGAGCAGCGCTGCATTAGTTCAATTTCGGTTGGCCTTAAATGCAAGTGAATGTCCTGCTAATTTCTTGAAACCAGTAATTAAATCGTTAACGGTTGCATAATTCATCTGATTGAGCCTGAATCCTTCGGGAACAACAACACCGTGCTGTGAAATGAAGGAATGCGTTGTAGTCAATAAGTTATTATCATAATTGATGATACTCGCAATAAGCACTCTAGTAGCTTACCCAATATACGGTTTCAGTCCGCAAAGAATTCCGAATGCCAATCAAGAACCCGCCAGCCTTTACTGGATCAAGACAGAATCCGTAAGCAGCAAATTGTGGGCTCCATTGTAATTGTTTAAGAAGGTAATTTTCTACATACAGGGAGAGAGTTTATTAAAAATAGTAGATAGATGTGTACACAACAACTAATTTAGAATACATACCAAGGGCAGCTTTATCCGTTCTGAATTTACTGTGATTAAGTAAAGAGCCCAACTTGCGAGCAGATGAGTCAATATGATGGACCAGCAATTCGTCGATTTCGCTGTATTCGTACTCTCCGACCTTTACTTTTGCTTTGCCATCGGGCCCTTTTGGTAATTCCATTACATCTAATTGACAAATGGTATTAATGGTTGCACAAGTTCATATATTTTCACCGCACAATCATAAAACTTTTGACATACTTACCAAGATGTTGATAAATATTTGGGGCAACTTTCCATGTACAACCAATAACGTTAGGCCCTTTTGACGAAGGTCTGAGGACTGTTTCTCCTCTGCGTTTATCCTCTAGATGTTTCTCAGCCTCGCTCCAAGTCATATCTTTGAATAAAGAGTGATGTAATATACGTTTCTGAGGAGCTTTCTGTGGAGGCCGGCGAACTACTATAATGTCAGCAAAGAAAAGGTGTCAATGATCGAATAAAGAATTTTTCATCTTTTTCATTATTACAGCCAAACCTTTTTGTGTCCGTGTAGCCAGTGCCTCTGCAGTTCTATCATAGTACGGGTCAGGCACGATCGAGTTATCCTCTTCGATATCTATTACCTCATTAGGTTTACATGTCAATTCAACCACTAATTCGTATTTATCAACTCTTACTACTTTGCAGTCAACGGTTTGACCTTCCTGAAGCACCAATCTAGCATCAGATAACGGTTGATCAGTGATCCTATACACATTAATTATGGCATCAAGCCCTGAGGCCAGCTTGCAATTAACTATTTTTTCTTGAACTCTAACTATCTGAACATCAGGTACAAAGCATCCGGGATAAAGTGTTTTGTCGTTCTCCCTATAAATATACTCAAATATCTCATCAGGACTGGATTTCCTAAATTCAGCTCGCATGTCCTTATATGGCTCTTGTAATTCCTGTTTGATAAGATAGAGTCCATAACTTCTGACAGATCTATAGATATTGGCTATTTCTTCTGCATATTCATCCAGTGACAAGTCATTCAGTTTGTCAGGTTCGCGCTCCATTATCCTCCGAACATACGTAGCTGCTGGTTCACATTCCATTACATCTTCTACGTCAGCATCAAGCGCATCGCATACCATCTTACGGGCTATTGGATAATCTTGAGGATGGATACGAGTCGTATCCAGAGGCTCTGCTGTCCCATCAATACGAATAAATGATGCACAATTCTCGAATATTTTAGGCTTAAGAATCTTTTCGTTTTTGAGAAATTCTCTTGACAGCTGTGAATCCACCCCCAATTCCCGCCTTAGTCGACCTAAACTATCCAATAGGCCCTTTGCTTTGCGAGGCCCTAGACCACTGACATACTTTACTACATTCGCCAAATATGGATCATCCAGTGCAAGTGAAAGATTTACGCCAACAGAGTTTGTTACATCAATTATAACACGCTCAAGTGCTTCCTTTAGCTTCTCACGGTGAACCTATTCAATAATGAACAAACGCATCGAAGTTAATGTTTAGCGGCGACAATGGTAATGTTAACCATAGCAATAGGAGGAATGACAATTATGAAAGCATGGCATATAATGGCAATGTCGTTGTTAATCCAACTTACCAATCTCTGCATCGGATGGAAATCAAGAAGAGTAGTATCATCGCCTAACGCAGTATATTCATGAAGAGGTGTCTGTACCAGTCGTGCAATTGACGCGCAGTATCGCTTTAACTTATCTGTCTCATCTCTGAATTTTATGTTCCAAGGTTTAGCCGATTGAGAGTCACGCTTACATAGTTTCGCAACTTCATCATTCACGACAAGAACATCAATCTCGTCTTCAGTGTCCTCTCTATATCTCCTATTATAATCTTCAATAAGAGCATTAACTTGAGTCAATAAACTCTTGGTATGTGATGAGTATCCTGCCACCACTGCCACTTCAGGTCGCTTCTTTCTCAAAAAGTCTGTAAACGCTTTACGATCTCTAGAGGCCCTCTCTTGAAGTTGGATTTCCTTTTTTGGATTTGGAGGCCGGAGATCATTAAGTGTAAGCGTTGATATTCGACGGTGTTCGTCTATAAAGACAACCTCGACGTCTTGAGGTGTTTCCTCGTCTCCACATGTGAGCGCAATGACACGCGGGAGCATATCTGGCTCGAGATTATGACCTCCGTAAGGGCCAATATTAATTTTCTATATGTAGGGATAGAAGTTCATAAGCACAAGCATATTATGAGATGTACGGTAGATAAACATTTACCTTCTCAAATTTGCTTCGACATGCACTGAGAACGTAGTCTTCAGCGTCAGCTTTTAGTTTAGCTCTAAGCCATTTATCCATATCTTTTTCCAGCCAATCACTAACTGCCTTGTCAATTATGTTACAACGATGAGAATCCCATTGGACTCCATATTGACTGGTACTATCGCTTTTCATATATTGGTACATTTCTTCGACTAGATTTTGCTTATTGCGAAGACATATGACAACATCTGTCAAGCCATCTTTTTCAGAGTTCAGTATCTGAAGGAATTGTCCACTATTGGCAAATCCGGAAACTGGTTTCTTTAAGAACTTAAATGGCTACAATGGAGAATCATTTAGATTTCAGAATAGATCGCATATAATAATGGGTGACGAGTAAATTAGTGATAACAAGCATACCCAGCATGGATGCTTTTTGCTAACAATCTCGTTAAGGCCTTTGTCTGTTGGCGATACAATGACTTCTGCATTTTGTTGATACAACTGACGGAAAGCTTTCTTTATCTGAGGATCGTATGCGAGTTCGCTTGCGAGCATAAATTTTGCATCTATACAACAAGGCTAGTTATTAATTCTGTCCAATGACGAATTAGGCAAAAGAATAAATTTACCTTCCATGAGTTGTGCGGCTGTAGTACGTCCCGACCGAGGGCCATTATCATCTGCAGATGCCATGGCAATGTACTCTTCTGCGGCTTGCTCTGGATATTTTGAGACATCATTTGGGAAATGCATTTTATTACGGTAAAGAAAGCTTTTGGCAAACGCTCGCATATCTATTCCGAAATGCTAATAAAACAATCGGCGAGTTTAAAGTGCAAACTTACGCAAGTTAGAAATATTTAAAGATGATGAATAAAAGAGTCTGAAAAATTACCTTAACAAAGCCTTGAACACCCCGGCTTCGACATCTTTCGTAGTATTTAAATTTATCTGCTTTTCTTGGGCCTTTCTTATCTGGCCTTACTATTTGGTCACAATATTTAAGACTCAAATATTCTCTCAAATCGTTAAGCTCTTCAATGCGTTCCGCCTGTGGTATCATCTCCTCTACATATTCATCAGGATTTGCGAGCTTTGATATGTACTGCCTTAGCCTTTCACGTGCTTCTATTAGTGCATGAAACTTTGTGTCTAAATCATATATTGTCCAAAGGTCTTCGGTTGTGAGTTCTCGATCTCTCGAATGCGGAAGTAAATGATCACGTCGTTGTGCAATTATGTAAGGAATTTCAACTAGCTCTTGACTGAGATCTTTGACAATATATCCAACTGTATCCTGTACTTTAGCAGGTTCAGTGCCTTTCTTTTCTGCGAAGAATTTAGACACCCAACTAGTCTCTTCCTCTATCTCATCTGGAGTAAGCTTTCGTTTGCCATCAATTCCTTCGCGCAATTGCATGCGTTCTGGAATGTCAATTTTACGTATAAGTTCATCTTCGTCAGTCATCATTCGGATCTTGAGCTCATTCGGTGAGATCATCTGTTAAACGTTAGTTAACAATCATAGTTGAATGCTGGACTGGCTTGAAAAAATTAATACTCTTGTGTACTTACTTCTTTAATATCCCTTGTTACGGGATCTCTCCTCGCCTCCTGAAAATTAAAAAGTACGCGAAAATACGGCAGAAATTAATGTGTATATATATACACCAATATCGGACTCCTATATAAACTGGCGAAAAAAATACCTGAAGAGCCCATAAATAATCTGCCTTATAATCAAAGAGTTCATGCCAAGTGGACTTGGCCCTAAGATGATAAGACCGTTTTCAGCACGATTTCAGATCCAACATTAATTTTATAAGCAAAAAAAACTTACTCTAGATCCTCGGCACTCAAAGGTTCTCCAGATTCGTCAAGAGGGATTCCATCACCCATCTGATCGCTTACGGCAATGCCGCCATCGTCGTCATCGTCGACGATGAACGCGTCGAGGTCATCACCGACAGCTTCTTGATCTTCGTAATCTTCATCAAAAATTCTGGATAGATCGTTACGACGTCGGGGTGACTCCTCTCTGCCACGCTTCTTAAGTCTCTTTAACTTTCGCTACATTTAAATAAAAACCTATTAGCGCTCATAACATGAACAGCCTAGAAAAGACAAACAAAACGTACTTCGCTTCGGTTCATTGTCATGCCTGTATTCTCTTCAACGAGTTCTAAATCGTCGTCGTCTAAATCGTCGTCGTCGCCTGCGGAAGGGATCAAAAATTAGTAACTCTAAACAGAAAGAACTAATAAGAAAACAGTTCATACTTTCTATTCTCTTCTCTCGCTTTCGTTTCCTTCGACGAGATGAACGAACTTCATTCTTAGCCTCTTCTTGCTCTTCCTCGTCGTCGTCGTCGACGATAAAGTCTTTAGCAATCTAGCGAAAAGGGTAATCGCATGTTAAAACCGAAGGATGGGTGTGGCATATTTGAAAAAGAATCAAGATCTACTTTGGCTGCTTCTTCTTCATCAGTAGATTCGTCTTCCTCTTCTTCAATTTCATCCTCCTCCATGGCTTCATTCTGTATAAGTTCTCCGTCTTCGTTGATGATGTCTTCGTCTTCAGTCATTTTTGTGAATGAATTAATAGTTAATCTTAATAGCCTACAAATTCCCCGCGCTTTTTATGTAATAGCCGAAGATTAGAGGACGATCGTTATCACGTGTACTGTTTACCAAATATATACAAATTAGGATAGATATTAATATCTGATACATAGAATATCCTTCAACATATCTTGCAAATCGTATCATATTGTATAGAATATGTCTCAATATTCGGACGACGAAGGAACTAGAGCCTCGGGCTGGGAAGAAGATGATGAAGAAGACCCCCAGCAAAACGATCAGGGAGGTGATGACTATGAAGTTGACGAAGAGCAGGAGGAAGACGACGAAATCGAGGAAGAAGACGAGGACGAGGACGACGACGATTATGAACAAGAGAGTAGAAAGGTAAGCATGTAAGAGCAAAGCCTGAGAAACTGGAAGCGGCTGAACTATAGCATTGTGCAAGAGAGGGCGATCGAGAGGCTGTTTATTTCATGAGGGCTTTAAAATGTTTTGGATATGTGGTTATGCACCTTTGTGCTAATTCGATTATTGTCCATTATCAATTATACAGAGAAGTAAGAAGCGTCGTAAGGAAGAAAAGAATCTCTTCGTGTTAGATGAGGCTGAAGTAGATGACGATGATGAAGATGATGATGAAGAGGAGGAAGGGTTTCAGGATAGTAAGTACTATAGGAAACGGAGTATACGATGAACAAAGACCTTTATTACTTTTATTTACCTATACATTTGTTTTCTAGCCTTTATTGCCCGTGATGAGCCAGAAGAAGACCGCATATCAGCGCGAGCAGTCCGACGTGCACGATTTGAACTAGAACGCGAGGAAGAAGATGCTTTCGATGCCCACGAGATGGCAGCACGACTCAAGGAGCGCCATGGTCGACGCCGTCCATTGCGGATGGCAACTGATACAGCCATTCCGGCTGTATTGCAGCTTGCTGACGTGAACGAGCCTAATATGTGGGTTGTTCGATGTAAGGTTAGTTTTGTGAGCTTGAGTAGAACGAGCTGATTATATAAAATGTGCTCATCTTGTTTTGATTAATGACAGCCCGGCAAGGAAAAAGATATTGTTCTCACGCTCATGAGACGGGTCAACGATACCGAGCAATATGGAGGGCCAACTTCAAAGATTTTTTCTGCTTCATGTAGAGATTCTTTAAAAGGCTACGTGTACATAGAAGCGAGAAAGCTTACCGATGTTCAAGCGGTACGTATATGCATCGCAATAGAAAGAGAAATTATGAAACGCTCGTTATTTATTAATCTCCTCATTTTTTGTGTTGATTCTATAACATTTAGGCTGTTCAAAACGTCAACAATGTATTTGCTTCAAAAATACAGCTCGTGCCTGTAGACGAGCGTGCTGATGTAATTGTAATAAAATCTAAACGCATCGACCTTAAACCCAATAGCTGGGTAAAGATTAAGAAAGGTCGTAACGCTGGAGAATTGGCGCAGGTACTATATTGCTTTGCGTCTGCAATATATAGCAGGATATGCGTGCTCTTAACAAGATTGCTCATGATATAATATGATATGATATGATAGGTTGTTGACATATCAGAATCTGGAGATTCAGCAAGAGTTAAACTTGTAGCAAAGAAAGACGATTCAGCGTCCGGGGATAAACGTAAAAAGTCGGCACATGCTAATAATTATAAGCGCGGATACATAGAGAGAGATGTCAAACTTTCAAATCTGGTTAGTATATAACTCGCTTTCGATATTATTCAAATGGGCTTATGAACTCGAATTGCAACAGATCGTGGATGATGTAAGTCCATCAGTGGACGAAATCACAGCGTTTGCCGCTGCTCAGTTTGAGGAGGGTGCTACAAGTAAGCTAAACATAAATGAAAGGTTATAATTTGCGACCTTAATATTTACTTCAATTATCAACTTGTCTGCTTCCGATCGTAGTCGCAACTTTGGCCATCGATAGCCCACTCACGGCCGCTATCAAAACTGATTTCCAACCTGGCGACATAGTAGAAGTAGTAGATGGTGGTGAGGCGGGATTGTATGGAACTGTTGATGTAGTAGAATTGGGGATGGTCACCTTTACTGTTTCGCGTGACACCAACAGTGGCGCATTGCAAAAAGCTGTTGTGGAAGCCAGTCGATTGAGGAAAAAGTTCTCACAAGGAGATCATGTTAAAGTACTTAACGGCAAGCATAAAGATGCCACAGGAATGGTATTAGAAGTCAAAGGAACGACAGTTACTCTAGTACTCGATGATACTATGGAGGAGGTAAATGTCTATTGTCAATTTGTTGAATCATTGCTTTTGAGGAGCTAACTGGAAATTGAATAACCAACCTTAGGCTGTGGTGTTCTCAAAAGATGTCAAGAGAGCTGCTGATGCCACAAAGAGTGTGACGTCTGAGAGTAAACATGAACTACATGAATTCGTTCAGCTATTGTGAGTATTTTTGGTATCTCCTTACTACAGTTTCATTATTGTTTGATGAATTCTAACTTTTCTTCTAAGCAATGGTGCTTATGGCATCATTGTCGGAATCGAGCGTGGATCCTATCGCATCCTTAGTGACGACGGGATTGTACGAAGCGTTGAGGCAGTAGAGATATCAAGGAAGCTCGATACTCGACGGGCGCAAGTCAAAGATTCACACGGAAATACCTTACAGCAAGGCGACTTGGCACAAGAGACTATTCGAGAGGTTGGTTTTAATATATGTGTGTATGTGCTGTTGGAAACAATACTCATTATATGTGATTCTAATTAACATAGATGCGTGAGGGCAAGATATTGCATATATTCAAACACACGGCCTTTTTATTAGCTCGTGACATCTCTGAAAATGGTGGTGTATTCTTTACACGATGGAAAAGTCTCATCAACAAGAATTCAACCACGGTAAGCAACCGACTCTGGTTACACTTTATCTGCTTTTTGTTTTCCTTGTCTCACTTTTTATCTTGTTGCTATTGCACGCAGACTGCACCGAAACTCGACCAAATAAATCCAGCAGTCTACGGTAACCGGCAGTTGGATAGATCTCAAGGACAGAATCGTAGTTTTAACAATCGTGGCTATGGTGATAGAGGATATGATCGCGGTCGCGGAAGGGGTTCTAGAGGAAGAGGAAGGGGCAGAGGAGGAAGAAAAGACCATTTAATTGATCAGACAGTTACTATCGTTAAAGGCCCTTATAAAGGCTATATGGGTATTGTAAAGGATACCACGGAAACCATGGCAAGAGTGGAATTGCATACAGATAGTAGAATTTTGAACGTTGAGAAGGCTAAATTAATGATGAAAGAGTATGTGATGAGTTTTGTTCTTTTTGTTGCAGAGATATTTATGAACTTTGCTGTGTTTAATTGCGTTTGTACGATCTCTTTTATACACAGTTCGAGCGGGATTATCCGACCAATTGCATCTGACTTCCAACCCAGAGAGCGTGATCTCGATACGTCAAGCAATTACGGCGCATCGTCACCTTATTCCCCCAGCGGCTGGTCGTCATCTTCTCGTACACCGTCCTGGGCGGGTAGCCGTACACCGGCCTATTCCTCAGCAATGACACCCAATCCACACGCCGACGGCTCGCGCACGCCTGCTATTCATTCAACCAATGATGGCTCACAAACACCGGCATGGGACATTGGCAGCAAAACGCCGGCATGGATAGGCGGATCAAATGATGGATCGCCGCGATGGGGTGATGGTGGGTTAACTCCTAGATGGGATATTTCCGCACCTACACCTGCCCCGGAGACTCCGAGATTTTCTGCGCCGACACCAGCACCAGTCACACCCAATTTCGTTGCGACTACGCCTGCAGCGGATGGGCCGAATTTCGTGCCAACGCCGAAGCATCTTCCACCCACTACTCCTGAGCCTATGACCCCAGGACTGTTTGTACCGGCGACTCCACATTTTATACCTGCTACTCCCATGGCTGCTGGCGGTGATTATGGTGATGGAAATTTGAATGCGGAATAATCAATCAGTTTACAATTTAAATAAAATTATCTAAATAATGCGTTTAATAAAAAATTTTGTTTGCGATGTATATTTGGATTACTATTTTGGTTATCTCGAATGTAAATTCTGCCCAAATAGCAACTTACTTAGTTTGTGTTACAACAGAAATTTTATTGCAAGTAACGTGATTATGATCATTCGAATGGCGATTTTTTAAACTCTACCAAGTCAACAAACTAAAACAGTTTGCACAATCCAAACATGAAAGAAGAAACAAAGGTTTGCTTACCCCGACTAAAGCTTAATGTCTCGTTTATATGCCTTTTATTCAACTCTTTACTACAGGAGAAAATTAACAAAATCACCGAGATAACGAAAACTATCATTCACTGGGGTTTCATACCTTTTGTAATTTACTTGGGTAATGTACTCATGTCGCACTCTCAAAACTATACAAACCGGCTACTGCCATATTAATAATAAACCTTTTGCTTATAGGCTATACGAGAAGTAACCCGAGACCCTCTCTCATAAGGTACGCGCAAAAATTAATATACGCAGAATCTCGGGCGCATTTTAGGACCACTATTAAACATTCTTTGTTTATTTACAGGCTCATAAGCCCTCTGGCTTGACGATTTTGCAAGGTTGAAAATTCTTTCCATTGGTAAGTACGGAAAGTTTGGCTAATTATTTACTTAAGCGAGAGATCATTCCTTGGGTTTATAAAAACCGAATACAATTTTTTTTTGCCAACAGTGGAACATGCTTTAATTTACAATCGAATCCAAAATAGATTCAACGTTAATTTATTTATTTATATTTCAGATAACGATAGACACTCGCCAGAGTCAAGAACTTTATTTGGATCGAGCAAAGCCAACCTGTAATATGAAAATATGGAATTGATGATTATATTAAAATCTTTCGATAAAAAAAAAAGCCGTAACGAAGCATAATAAAGACAAAAAGTAAACGTACGCGATCTTTGCCGAGGTCGTAAATTGTATAGAATTTACGGAGGAATACATCACCGACTATTGAGATGACATGTTAGCATATATCATATAGCGTCAAAATTTGCAACAAATTGATAATAAACTTGTATAAAGCTTACCGATCCAGATAGGACCAAGCGGTGCAGGAATATCAAGGCCCATGAAAGCAGAGATACATTGGTTTTGGGCTGCATTAAAAAAGACATAATCAGTTAAACATGCAGGCCGTATCTGTTAATAGTTGCCCATATATCCCACAATATTACCTTTCAAGATATAGTCATCACCATTAAGTGTATAGTTCAGTCCACCAAATTGGAAAGTAAAGTCTGGCAAATTCTTAACCTTATCGCATTCGATGACATATTGCCCAGCAAAATTCTTCTTGGCACCAATCTGCTTGTTTATGAGATCGGCAACGATCGACGGGACAGCAATAAGAGAAGTTCCAGAATCGATAGCAGCACCTGTGTTTTCGAAATTAACCTCTTCCCCACCGAAGTAGACTGTCTGCAGGTCAACTTCCCAGTAAGCCTTTCTACGAACCGGAGCCCAGTTGATGTCACCAATGATGCGATCATAATCAATACCACCAAATGCCAATTCACCACCTTCCCCATCTTTTTCGGTATCACCAAGCCAGAAGGAGAATACGGGTTCAATGCCGAGGTCGCTGATCATCTTGTAGAAGGGAGGAACGACGCGTTTGACGGCAATAGTATCGTAACCTTGATTCATTTACAGAAAGTAAAGAGATGAATCAGGTGTTGTTGTTTTTTTGATTACGTGCCGCAGCAGATGTACATATAAAAGAGTATATGTGAGGGTGAGTATGTATAGCTATATATTAAGTTCATCGCAAGCGTGTGAAAACATACCAAGTCCAAATATTCCGTCGAATTTTCCAAAAACAAAGGCCAAGCCAGGTTCCTTGGTCGACTCGCCGAAATCTAAATCTTTCAGTTCCCAATCTCCTACAGTCAACACATCATTGCTAATAATCCCCTCCAAACTTCCACTGCCGTATCGAATAGCAAATTCTGTTCCATTCTTTTTGAACGTTTTTGAGGCCTTGGAGTCGTATCTATTATGCAAGAAGCATGCAATTGAGGAGCAGTGGGTAGATGGAACCCAGAGATTCGATGAGCCGGTGTCGAAGATGACGGAGAATGTCTGTTTTGGAGTGCCGAGTCCGATCTCACCATAATACTATAGAGGGATGATTTAAAGATCATAAGTTTAGGGATTAGTTATCGTATACGATGTTTAAGTTGAGCCATCGTGATTGATGACGAGATATCGATATAAAGATTGCGCAGTATGTTCTACTAAAACAAAAGTGTCAAATGGCTATTGTCTTCACCTGGGCGTTCATATAGTTTGAAAGGGGTATACCCTGGTAGTCGTTTTCCTCGACACCAGAGACGAATACTTGATTGCTCTCTTGTAGGCGGCGTGAACTGCTAAAGTATTTCTGAGTTAAATAGTCACCAGCTTCAGAATAACGCTGAAGCTTTCGAGCTGCCGTTTCGGGAATCTTTTTAAGCCGCATTCTGTTATTGGAAGTTTATATAGCATTGTTTTTAGCATGTTTCTAAACAACTTAGTACGGGTCTTCGAACATGCTCCATATATAATCCTTACTTGTGAATAGCAGCATCGGTACAAGCGCCCAACAAGGCACCCATGAGCAAAAGCAAACTAAACTTCATTTTGTCTTGTATTTTCGTTACGAACTATCAACGGCGGGTTCACTTATGGCAGTAGGAAAGATAGTAGAGACTTAGGGGGGTAAAGGGTGCTGAAGCGGGGCGTCAGACGTGAGAAATACGCCCTTTTCAGGGTTGATGACACAGATAAATTGCCGCGCAACCCGAGTCCCGATAGTTTGACCATCGATAATCTTGCTTTCCCAAAAGCCAAGATGGTTTTGTGCGCCAATCCGCCAACCTATATCCGGTTAGATTATCATCATAAACAATAATAAGTCAAGAGATATTAATCAACCGTATTTCGATAACAATTAAAACAATTAGACCAGAATTTTGAGGTTCGAATTTTTGGGTCGCATCGTTATGAGAATTTCACATATCGATTATGTTTAATGTTAAAGTTCACGATCAGCGTGATGGCCTAGTTGATCGACGCGATCAGCTAGCTCTTCTACTATTTATTAAAACTATTCATTACTTAAAATTAGCATGGGTGCGCACGTACCTCGATCCTTTTCGTAAAGATTTCCACCATCACGATTATGGATGGGAAGAAACCGTTAGTATTAGCTGTTTCACTCCAACTTCATATGAACCGTTTTCATGCGTATCTTTCGAAAACGCTCGACTTTAAGAATATCTAAATGTTCATCTATGGGACTACCTTGGATATTTGGCACGTTTTGATAAAAGGCATGCATATTGTACGACACAAGATCCGTATCTGCATTCAGGACTTATTATGCATTGTAAACGTGACATCGATACGTACAAACCTGACAACCATTTCTAGCTTTCATTGATCATGGCACTTTGTGTGTCACGTAAATTGGGCTAATATTCTTTGATACGGGTCTGTGTGTATTTGATAGTTTGCGTTTGTGTGTTGTGGTTAAACAGACACATGTATGCAAGTAAGTCAAGAGCACAATATTATGCATACACCAACCCTAACCCATCTTGTTTAAAATCATTACAAGAATATGTAATGTTCGATTGACTTGCATTAATTGACTCTTTAAAGAATGTCTCCCCAGTATCTTTCTAATTCATCTTGGTCCATTGTTCTTATGTCACTTAATGCTGCCCCGATTTAAACACTCGACAATGCATAAAGTTCAGAATTATTCAAGTAACCTATTGATTACGTAAATGAGTTCTACACGTCATTACTAATGATATAAATATTAATTAGAATATCTCCCGAAAATTAAGTGGGTGTTATTCTTTACAATAGATAACTTTTTCTTCCGATGGTGAAAGCAAATCACAACTTTGCTGAGCCATCTATTTTCTCTTTTCGTCTTTTTTGACAAAGCCCACAATAGGGAAACAGTAAACTGTGCCGATAAATACAAATACCAATTTATAGCCAGAACACTCGCAAAAGAGATTTCTCTTGCTACAAACCAATAAGTTGTTCCGCTTTATGATCAAGACGTTTGAAAGGTAACTAGCTTGCATGTCATGACTCGGACTTGTCAAATAAAGTCTATATTTGAATATACCGTCTGAAAAGTGAGTTTTGCATAAAAAAGAATACATCTGCGGAACTCCCCCGTAATCGCACAATCGCAACACCTCCTTTCCGGTTAATGTTACATCCCCAGCCTTATTGAAACAGATCCCTGCATGCGGATGGAATAATGCGAAAACTCCGATGGGACCAACGACGAGTAGAATTCCCCCAACATAACCATATTTTGATACTAAATTTGCTTGCTGGCATTCTTTGTAGCTTTCGTAATCTTTATAATGTGTCTTTCTAATCTTATTTACCGAAACAATTGGCGTTATCTTCAATTTGATGTTTAAAATCGCAAATTCCATATCAATGAATACTTAACAAATACTGGTATTGGCTTGAATGCATTGTAGGAGTTTCTTCTTTTACTTTCGCATGTTACCTATAAGATTTGATATTGTTTAAATTCTCCTCAACTCGCAGATGTAATTTTCCTTTATCAATTTGTAGATTGGGCTATATTATTTTTGTGTTGATTGCATTCTCTGGTACATTAATTCTGCGACAAAGTCTCTACTGTTGTGTTGGTTTACTAGTCTACGCGATTGTTCAGTATTTTGTTCTAAGCCAATACTGGTGACGTTATATTAATATACTTTGTGCGATGCATAGACAAAAAAGTATTACCATTATTTAAAAACAAGGCGTCTTCTATTATTTCTCAAATACGCTTCTGTGAATAAATCTTTAGAAAAATGCTTTCATATTTGAAGTAAATATATTTTGGGTACGTGACTGAATTCACCGAGTCATGTGAAGTTCGACAAACCGACGCGTTCTCGACTCGTTCTGAAAAATCGCCTGGTGACGAGATATCTCGATGGATTCGGTGTAAGCATACTAACCCAAATTATAGTACGCTGAGGTTGGGTTGCTTCAGGTACTAGAACACATTCGCTAATTCGATTGAACCCCGAATAACCAATGACTACGGTTTACTTGGGAGTGGCTACACTCACTAAAAACTCGCCATTATGCAAAACGTTTAGAAATTGATGACTTAAAGGAATCGACGGCTGATTATCTAAGAATAAGAAATATCATGAACTGTGACATATTGCAAAGCATGGGAGACCAATTGTATCGTATGTCAAACATCTCTTATAAGTTTTCAGCTGTATGATAAGATTCTGTGTCTGTTAATTGGATGGTCGTTAATTCGACCGGTGACCACTAATTCGGCAAAAGAAGAGGAAATACTTTATATCAACCGTGACATTGCATCAGAAGCTTATACAATAAAGTGGGGCTTGACTATGAAGACCACAAAAAAGTTATCTCTGTATTAATGTTATGAAATTGAATTGCTAATGGGCGAAATTCTATGACCCTAGAGGATAATTTTCATTACACAAGAATGCCGTTCTCTTACAATCTATGTCTGGAACCGAGTCAAACATGCATAGCTGGCCTCCGTTAATTAGAAATACATTTCTCGAAAAGGACGATATAGAATTAAATTGAGAATTAACATCCAACTCATATGGTAACTTAAAAGAAATCCGAATATCGGCAAAGGCGACCTAAAAATAAACTGGAGTATTGTTCAAAGTGATACTCACAACCCTGTCTTTCGCATTACCATCGGAAGCCAAAGCTAATATCATAAAATCGAGACTTGCAAGCATTCAGTCCAATGGGACTTCGCCTCACAATTTCCATATCAAAGTATTTATTTGAAATATTATGACTGTGGAAGGATTCTCGAAATTAATAATTGCTGCAAAAGTATCCTTTCTTAGAAGTCTCGAACCAGAAAGAATCTATAAAGCATTAAAAAAACGTCTAGAGAATGGGATTTATTTTTCGCTCTAAAAAGATGGCTATATTGATTAGATATGGGCTGGTTGTAATAACAAGTTCATTAAGAGAGTCTACTTTAAATAAGGTATATGTACATGTATTTCTACAAGTTGAAGTATACAAGGACCGACAATATTGTTAGATTATTTAGGTGTTGCACGTTTGTAAGTCAACAATTATTAATTACTTTGATTGCTATAATAATAGTTCATTTGAAAACAAAGACCAAGCCGGGAAGTTTGGTACATTTACGGCCTGTATTACATTTAGTTTAACTTTCTCCCATACTCGGCTTTGTCGTGGCACCCACGGTTCACTTTGTTTAGTTTACATGGTTCACTTTAATTTGGCAGTTTTACCAGAAAGGGCAAACAAATACGTATTAACCGAACAAATCCAACCATTCGGAAAATTTCAAATGACAATGAACATCGAACAACGATGCAAAGAAAAAAAGTCCTTTGTTGTCGCAATTTTATATCCGAGCAAGAACTTACCATAGAAATGATTCTAAGCGTAGATAATAAATGCTGTTGCCACAGTCATTCCCATATAAAAGAACCCGCATGCTCTATCCTTCACTGCAAAAATTTCAGAACATTCACCGCATTCCTTCGTAACCACTTTTTTACTGTACTATAGTATAGATACTAGACATTTTTCATAGAATTATATACAAAAACCAACCATGTCCAGCCGTTCGAAAAGACCTGAATTTAACGTCGGATCAAATTACGAACTACTACATGTGATCGGAGAGGGTGCTTACGGCGTTGTATGGTAATTATTATTGAGAAGTTAACTCGGCAACCGACAAACCTGAATGTTTGCATAACATTCTTCATTTTCTGTCTTGTTTTCAGTGCCGCTATTCATAAACCAACAGGCCAAAAGGTCGCCATAAAGAAAGCTAAACCTTTCGACCACTCTCTATTTTGCTTGCGTACCCTTCGTGAAATGAAGCTTTTGCGTTATTTTAATCACGAGAATGTAATAACAATATTAATGTTAATGTTATATGTTTTGTGAATTTTCGCTCGTTTTGCTCAAGAAAATATATTAACCAACAACTGCGATTAGATCATATCGATTCTAGATATTGTAAGGCCTGAAAGCTTGGGAAAATTCAATGAAGTGTAAGTTCTGGAGATTACGTGAAAGAAAACCATGAATACGCATGCTTATGTGCTTTGACTTTTACTAGTTACCTTGTACTAGAGCTTATGGAAGCCGATTTGCACGGTATTATTCGGTCCCAACGATTGAGCGATGACCATTGTCAGTACTTTATTTATCAAATTCTTCGCGCTCTCAAAGCTTTGCATTCTGCAAATGTCTTGCATCGCGATTTAAAGCCGAGCAACTTGCTTCTAAATGCCAATTGTGATTTAAAGGTTTGTTGTTTTAGCAACTGCTTTTATCGACAAAATCGTCATGCATTCTAAAAGTATAACTCTACCATATAAAAGGTTTGTGATCTTGGTCTTGCTCGAAATGCAAACCCTAGTGACGAACAAAGCGGCTTTATGACCGAATATGTCGCTACCCGGTGGTATCGTGCACCAGAGATTATGCTCACTTTCAATGTATATACGAAAGCCGTTGATATTTGGTCTGTTGGGTGCATCATGGCGGAAATATTGGGTAGAAAACCATTGTTTCCTGGGAGAGATTGTATCCTTTGCTATCGCAAGTTTTCGTAAAGCAAACCTTACTATGCTTGATTCTATTATTTCCTTGATTCGCACTTGATTTATAGACCATGATCAGCTTAGGTTGATTCTCGAAGTTCTAGGAACACCCAGGAAAGACGACCTCAGCAGTATTACTAGTAAAAGGGTATGCTAAATGTAGTCAACTTTACGAAAGACGCGCGAAATTCATCTGCTAACAGTTTAATTATATTCATCTAGGCTCGCAAGTATATCGAGAGTTTGCCTTATAACAAGCGCGTTCCCTTTGCACAAATGTTCCCCAATGCGAATCCGCTTGCTCTGGATTTGCTTGAAAAAATGCTTACATTCAATCCATCAAACAGAATTACAGTTGAAGAGGCATTAAGACACCCCTACATGGAGCCTGTGAGTATACTTTCGTCGTCGTTATTGACTTGGAAATCACAATACTTATATATGCTTTGAATTTTAGTTCCATGATCCTTCTGATGAGCCAGGAGCGGATCCAATTCCCGATTCATTTTTTGACTTTGATAAACAGAAAGATTGCTTGACGAAAGAGGAACTAAAGGGTGAGTAGATTCTGTTTTCCCGACGCTTTCTCTTTCAATCTTTTTCACTAACGTAAACTATTATTAATGTTTTCGTCAACAGTACTAATTTACCAGGAGGCTATGCAGTTTTCTAAAATAGAGAAGCAAGAACTATAATAGTAATGGATTCAAGACGTTGCTTATGTATTTATTAATAGACATAATAAATTTGGTTTTATGCCTATCAGGCGCAAATGTAAGAACAACCGCCAAACCTTTCAATTGCGTATTCATCAATTGACAATCCAAGTACAAAAAAAATATTCTTGTGGATACATAATTCTACTAACACCAGAGATTTGAATTTGCGTGCTCTTTCCTGTGAGGCATTTAGACAACACCAGGAAGCGAAGGAAGTTCAAATTTATTTTTCCTTTTCAACATTTCTTCAATCAATAATTATTTGATGATAAAATTAAATTTACATTAAGAATAATTAAACGTATTTACAGCATTCATACAAACAGATCATATAACTATCCATTTACATATGTCAAAAATAAAACAGTGCCTGTATCAGTCAGATGAGTGCTAATTATAGTTTACCATCATATGATATCATCATCCTCATCGTCCCACGCCACTATCACCCGTCAACGTCCTATCATTGTCATTGTCTTCACACATCAGCATCAATCATACAGTCATAATCAGTAGTCGTCCGTAATAGTCGTCGTCATCATTGTATTATCCATAGTACAATTGCTGCATCATCATGCATGCGTTATCTGTTGCGTACGCATCAAATACATACTGCCCTATCCGTATTAAATTCGGGGAATTCTTCAAATTGAGGTGGACTTTCAACGATCACATCATCGCCTGATGCCTACAACAAGCCACGAATTAGACCCTCGAAAACCATATACAAGCTTGCTAGTAATAGTATTGATAATAATACATACTATCAATGTTGCCCATCGCTTGATCATTTTCTCGTCTAAGAGCAAGTGCCGACGCTCGTCAATGGGAAAACACCCACGAAGGTGTTTAGTACAGGAGTTTACGTATTTTGACTTGAGAATTGATAATGCAGTGTCGTAACGAAGTTTAAACGATTCTGGTCCGTCCTACGTTGTCATAAGCACACAGTCAGCAATTTTGTCTTTGTATATATCGAGCAAATGCATATACAACAGAAAAGATGAAAACATACTTCCGACGAATCACTATCCGATTCACTTCTGAGTTTTCGTCCTGGCCAACAAGAAGTATCTTAGTATAACTGGATACGGACGAAAGTATAAACAAATCATAGACAGGCATTGGATATTCAGACAAACCCATATAATTGTCAAACACATACTCTTGACAGTCATATAATTACCAGAGTCGTCAGTCACTACAAGGCCATCCACAATATAATAAGCAACAAACTACTCTCTTAAATAATATATTCGATAAGCTTAAATTTCAAGTTTCTTACATGTGTTCTTGGAAGGAGGAATATAGTCAGAATCGTCACTATCGTTTTGGAAGAGCGCTCTATAATCAATATTTCCATTGATCTGGTCACGTTGAGAAGTATCATCTTCTTCCATGTCATCACCTTCTTCTTCCTCCTCCTCCTCCTCCTCCTCCTCCTCCTCCTCCTCCTCCTCCTCTTCCTCTTCCTCCTCACCTTCCTCGTCTTCATCGGAATCTGCTGAGAGTAACAAATTTGATCAAGTAAATGACAATAAATAAAAAAGTCATGTTATGACGGCGATTATTTACAAAATCACATGTAGCAAATTCCAAAACAGTAAATAAATCAACAACTCGTTCTTCCAAATATGTTATCTCACTTCATTAATATTCCATACAACAAAATTGTATAATACAACGACAACAAGGCTCGCCTTTCAAGCTTTGCTTACCCATAAAACTGTCACCTTGCTCAAATCTAGGCTCAGCAGCAGTAGCTGCCACATTGCTACCGGAAGCATTTCCTAAAGATTCATTACCTTCGCCATTTGTACGGCCAAGTAGGGCCAAGATTGTCTGCGCAGGACGTTTGGAAAGATCGAACCGGGATACGGGCCTTTTTGCCTTGAGCGATAAATCTTCAGCTTTGCCTTTCCCTCGATCTTGCGCAACTCCCAATGGTGTTATTCCTCCATCATCGCTTTTATGTGCCTCTGATTCTTCCAATTCAGCGAGTAATTGTTGGATCTCTGGATGATTTCTTACATCATCCCATCTTTTAAATTTGAGCACCTCGGTTTGATATCTCTTCAACGCCCCAACATGCCATAGTACACTTTTCATATTACTTGATTCGTATTTTAAGATTATATACTCTTTCAAATGTTCGACCGAAATTGGATATACTGATCCGTCTGCATTCCTCCAGTTCCTGTCATGCGCAAGGTTCGCATAAGAACGACCTACATGTTCAAAATATGTATCCCTAGTATCTACTCTTTTCGCTCTCCTAGGATTTGAAGCAGTGTGATCCAGAAAGTTATTAATTTCTACTTGCACGGCAACTGGATCCATGCTTTTGACTAGTGATTGCTAGCCGTTGAATTACTTAGTGGCCAAGCAGGCCAGACCAAGCTATTTTAGTGACTGCCGATCAGAATTAATATTGACCAATCAGACCATTAAAAGAACTTGCTTTTCCTCAGCAGAATGTATAAAATTACGAGTAGAATGTGATATTCTTGTTTCACTCTTGCCTGGACACTTTTCACATTCACGAGCTTGGACTTTCATAGAACTACTGCTTGCACTTTTTTATATATCTTGTTGTAATCAGCAAGAAAAAGAACCGTTGTTTTTGCTCCTTTGGCCTGGTGAAGGAGTATACTGCGGCTATTCTATCGTATGCGAGTTGTTATTTACATAGAACGAAACATAAAGTCAAGTTGGTTCTAACTCTCTCTCTCTAACATCCTTTCCGTTTAGCTACAAGACAGGTTTAACAACTTTAGTCGTATAATAAGGTAAATTGACAAGAACGTCAGAAAGAGAGAGAGCGCGTACCTGAGAATCAAATCATAAGCAACAAACCAAAGAGTATATAAACAAGCAAACAGCAGATAGCGAAAAAGATAACCTTTTAGCAAATTGTTAAATTACTGGTAAAATTGTAAATAGCGATAACGACTATGGTAGCTGTAGGTGCTAATACACTGGTTAAACAAGTTCAACCATTATACAATGGTGATAATACACTAGTTAAACAAGTTAAACCATTATACAATTTTAAATTTCCAAAACCATCGCCAAGAGTTAAAATCGAATTCTTATCGGACTTGGAACTTCAAGAATATTTCGAAGCTCACTTTCTCCAAATTTTTATCGAACAGATGGCTAATATTCCATTTCCTCGTATCCATTCTGCCAAGGAAGAAGAACCGAAAGAAATTAGGCCAGACTTGAATGTTCGACTATTATGCCCAGACTGCAAGAATTCCACTCCCAATATAATAGAAGAATTTGCAAGTGGTGATTTAGTATGCGGTGATTGTGGCTTAGTACTTGGAGATAGAATTATCGACACTCGCTCAGAATGGAGAACCTTTGCCAATGACGAAGGTGATGACCCATCCCGTGTAGGTGCCGCAGCTAATCCTTTGCTTGACGGTTCGCAGCTGGACACTGTCATCTCACGACGAGATGGTGGATCTGGAACAGCCAAGGATTTGAACAAAGTTCATGGAAGAGCGACAGCAGTTAAAGGAGAGAAAAATTTAATTCAAGCGTATAAAGAAATAGCGGCCATGTGTGAAGCAATTGGTTTGACACGACATATTGCAGACATTGCTAAACAGTTATACAAACGTGCGGAAGAGGAAAAACTCCTACGAGGAAAGAGCACAGAATCTATTATCGCAGCTTGTATTTTTATCGCTTGTCGTCAGGAGAACGTACCCCGTACGTTTAAGGAAATTTGCGCAATTACACGCGTGCCAAAGAAAGAAATCGGTCGTTGCTTCAAAATCCTGATCAGCAATTTTGAAACTGGCGTTGGAACGATGGCCTCCGAAGATTTAATGTCGCGCTTTTGTTCCATGTTGAGTTTGGGCATGGAAGTGCAGAAGGCGGCTGTTGAATTGACTAAAAAGAGGAACGAGTTGGGGGTATTAGCAGGAAAATCGCCGGTTTCGGTCGCGGCAGCGTGCATATATCTAGCATCTCATTTGTACGGGCAACCCAAGTCGACCAAGGAAATCGCCAACGTTACTGGCGTATCTGAGGTTACCATCAAGAATTCTTACAGAGGTCTATTCAATGAACGTGAGAAACTTCTAGATCAAAAATATGGTAACTTCAAAAATCTGCCTGCGCCATAAGAAAGCTGCATACCTCAGAATTTATACTAGAATTGGAATATAATTACATATAAACATTACTGTAAATAACCCCTCCGTACGGAGGTTATAGTATTATCGTTAGAATCAGCTATGCATCAGTTGACATTACTCGTCATAAGTGAGTGGTCATGTTATGTTGGACGGTAGGTGATCAATAAATATGGTTGTTAGCAACCGGCATAAAATTCTACGGGGATCCATTACGTATTTGATCATGTGGTAAATCATGTGGCTGGTGGATAATACACAGTGACTCTCTTTATAGTGTATCAAAAAAATCTACTAGTAAAAAATTCTCAAAAATACACTATATCGAGAGTTATTGAAAATTTATTAGTAAATACACTATATCGGATAGCATTCATTATAGATGGTTTTGAACCTTTATCCACTATATCGCGATTTTAATTAGTCTCCACTATAAAGGAGGTACACTATAAAGAGAGCCACTGTGTATATTGCAAAGTTATTTACTCAACTTCAATAGTAAGAACTCTTGTTGGTAATTATACGTTAGACCATCAAAACATTACATAATTTTTAATACGTTCAGTATTTCCACACTTGTTCTCTCGTTTCTCTCTCAATTTGACCCTCCCGCTTCTCTGATGTCTCCTCTTCCACAAGATAATAAATCAAAATATAGGAATCAACAAAGAAATTCGTCTTTGCCATTTCGATCCCGAAAAGATTTGCGACAAACGATGATAATTCGCACGCAGAACTTTTCAAAATCGCCACTTCTATATCACCCATCTCCATAATCCATCAATGCTTTCCGTACCCTGCCATAAGCCTGTTATTACTCTGGACGAAAAACGCGATTTGTGGCCGCTTCATTTCGAAAAAAAAAAAAAGAAGTGGCCTGTTCCTCACAGAATAACGTCCGATTGTAAGCTTACGTATATTCGCAAAAAGTAACGAATGGGAGACGCAAAAACAACTCTGCGAAACCCAAGCGGATATTCATGCAGTTTCCATCGACCCTGGCGTTCGTACATCCTTCACATGGTACTCTCCCACTAAAGGCGTAGGTAAAATTGGCCAATACGACATTGGACGAATTATTCGCCTATGCAAGCATGTGGACAATCTCCATTCTATAAAGGACAAGCTGGTTGCCCCTAGTGTCGAAATTGTGAAAATGGCGCTCGGGGAATCTTTCTCCGGGCATTGCTTGATGGAGCCTTGATTCTCTCCGGAGAAATAGTAGTAATGCCTACCATTGATATTAATATGTCACAATCCATCTGAACTAAACGAGGAATAACGTCATTATTGTGGCATTAATACATCCAATCACTAAATGTGTCTTGGCAGAATGCCTGCAATTCAATGTCTTTCCATCGTACCGCTTTGTTGTTACTAGTTATCCGAGCATACTGCAAACACTTTTTTTCCCCGCTCGGATATTAACGTCAATAGACGTTATGCGCCAGAAAGGTTAGGAGTTAAAACGTGTAGCAGAAGTTGGTTGGAATTTAATTGGTTCGACGAAAAGTCCATTGATTCCAGAATACGTTGTTTTTATTGCTTAATTAGACAACAAGGGTAAGTCGCCGAATACAGCCATAGTTGGCATTCAAGATAAGGAAAGAAGCTGATGACGTTATTGTTGCATAATTAATTATCAGCTAAACAACAAATTGTTATTAGACCATATATATTAATTGTTCCATTCCATTATTCGTTTATCTATCATATCTCCATTACTGGGACATTTCATCAATAAATGCATGTTGTGTCACAATATATCCACTTATGAATTCATACTTCTGTTGGTTCTTGTTATTTTTAGCCAAAAGTACTCAACTCGACGTTTCTCTTCATATTCTAATTCAGGGTTTTCTGATACGATTTGATTTGCACGCCCGAGATACCCGAATCACTGCCTTAAATAAGAATTAGGCACACAATGCAGGTTGTACGACGAAAGGGAAGGTCTTTGTTATGGTTATTATTATTGCAGTTAGACCGGAAATATCATCGGTGAATCAATTACTTTAGTCATTAATAAATAAATAAGCTACTACTGTTATAGCTAATGTCATTTACTTTCCTGGTTTAGTCGATCTCAAAAGTCCATCCTTACTACAAATAATATCACACCACAACTGTTGCTAAGCATCCAATCTGTTATATCCCAAGAACTCTCGTTCTGCTTCCTCTAATGGCAGAAAATTTTTTTTTTCAATTCCTTCCCATACAATCTTCGTTCAGCTCGATGACGTCACCAAATAGGTATGAAAAAGACTGTAAGCATTGACGATTGCCTTATGAGGAAAAGTGTATCACCCGACAAACATACAGCCAGTCTTTGTAAATGGTACCCATCAAAACACCCGCCATCGGATAAAACTTTGATTGTCACGACTTTTTTTTTTCAACCCTGGTTTTTTTTCCTTTCGAACTTCTCGTATCTCTCTAATTTCTAATATAATCTCTTTCTACTATACTAATAATAATCTGTCGCAGTGAAAATATTCTTTTAATTCCACTACTTACTTTCTCGAGTATACTACTCGTCAACTAAGTTAATTCAAGTCCGTTACACAGACTCTCTAGTGATTCTGACGACTTTTGCTCTTACCGTCGCCAGTTTTATTTTGTCCTCTATTCCCCAGATTACAAGGCACACGATTATCCCATCACCTTTTGCTGGGCAAAATCTGATGCGACTGTAACCTATATAAGCATAAACTGGAAAGAGTCCCTGTTAGAAATGACTTCCCAACCATCAGAATTAGTTCAAGATTCGTTTTCTCCTGCCATCGGCCCCAACTCCGGAGGCTCTCCTCAACATGAGACAAGATACTTTTCGTCGAAAAGGTTAGTTAACATGAAACGAAAAGCTGAACGGGACTAGATTACTCAGCGACTGTATTTGCACCCAGAGGATTAATTTAGTTGTTGGGTCTCTGATTCGCATATATGCACACGTGTTGGTTTTAACCTTACATAACGTCTTACGAACTACAAACAGTACAAGTCTTGTTCTAATACCGTATAACTATTCGTAGGGCTCGCGAAATTCAAGCCGAAGAAGGCATTACTTCGCCCTATCGCTCTTCTGCGCTCCCGCCCCCATCGTTCTCAACTAACGGAGCTTTTAACAGCGGAACGCTCTTGTCAGATTCGAATTCCGGCTCGACCATTGATTTTTTAAAGCCAGTCGGAAGCAAAACTGTTGCCAATTCAAACGGGAGTAACCAGGGTCATCTATCGCCGTTTCCTGCTCCTCTGCGTCGCGCTCGTGCAGATACCTTGCCAACGTCTCTGTCAGGTAGCAGACCGCCGTTCAACCTTAGTCACCATCCATCCTCTTCTTTGTCTGTGTCAACGTTGGGATCTTCTTCTTCTTCTTCTTCCTCCACGTCGAATTTACTTTCACCGCCAAAGGCTTCTCGATTTCGTTCTGGATCGTTGACACTTCCATCCGCGTCACTCTCTACTGCATTTGGTCCGTCTATTTTTAATTCTGTGTGGTCTGATCATCCTAATGATATCAGTGGTCCGACTACACCGACAATGCCAACTCCGACTACTGGAGAATTGCTTCATGGCGACGAGAATAATACAGTCGGGAAAACTTTAGATTACTTGGGTCTAGATGTTCACGATAATAGTAGCCTTTCTAAAATGTCTACTAGCTCTGGTGCTTTACCCCAGATTAAAGTGGATTTGAAGGCTCCTACCAATGCTACTTATGGTTCCGGTCCAAGTATCGCAACTATTCCATCGCTGCGTCGTGATGCGAATCGTATTAGGTCTTTTTCTGTATCTGCTGCTCCTAAATATGACGATCAATTACAAACTAGCGCTATGACTAGTGCAAATCTATTTCCTCCCGGTAATGCAGCTGTCCAGCAGTTTCATCAGGCGCATTCCCGCCCTCGAGCTATTAGTTTAAGCATGCTTGATACGCCTAACGAAGTTGTGATGATGCGTAATAAGCAAAATTCAATGTACTCTGATTTAACTGATCAATCTTCACAGCAAGTGGGATCTACACCGTCAACGAGATCGCTTGGTGGAGAGCAATTGATAGGAATGATGGTGAGTGGGATGATGGAAGGTAAAAAGAAGCAGCAGCAACAAGCACATGAAGATGATTACCTTTTGGACCATAACGACATAGAGGTAAATAGCAATTAGCAATAATAAATTTCAATATCGTATAAACAAGAATCGAAGCTATGATAGCAATGGCTTTATTATTACTATCGTATATCATCATATAACTGACTTAGTTGTATCAATAAATTTTAGATGACTCGATCTGGTTTGTCAAGTCCAGGCCTGCACACTCCTGAATGCTCTCAAAATACACCACCACCGCAGACACCCACTAGATCCCTTTGGATCGGTAATATTGATCCAACCCTCACTAACGAAGATTTGATGCGTTTATTTTCTCCATATGGTTCGATCGAGAGTTTGAGACTGCTGCCTGATAAGGAATGTGGATTCATCAATTTCCATCGTGTCGATGATGCTGTTCGTGCTAAAGATGATATTATGGATAGAATGGGTGGTAGAGTAGGAAGTTGCATTGTTCGCATTGGCTTTGGTAAAGCCGATGCAGCATTCAACTCTCATGATCTTTCTCCATCCTCACAAACTCAATCGCAACCAACACGTGCATTGTGGGTTGGCAATATCCCAACATCTACTACCCCGCAAGCATTGCAGAATATATTTGCGCCATATGGCCCAATTGAGTCTGCTAGAGTGTTAACGCATAAAAACTGCGGTTTTGTTAATTTTGAGAGATTGGAAGATGCTGTGAAAGCTAAAAGAGCTTTGCATGGTAAAGAAGTCTTGGGTAGCGCAGTTGGTCCAGTCAGGATTGGATATGCAAAGGTCCAGCCTAAACCATCGCCAATCGCTACTCCTGAACCAGGTTCTCCTGCTACCAGGCATATTCGCAACCTGTCGACATCATCATCATCATCTAATAATCAGTCTAATGGCCAATGGTCCGCTCAGAACGACAATTATGCCGGTAACGTTGTACTTTCGATGGTCATGGGAACGGCCGGTGGATTGACCGAGAAACAGCTGATGATGCGTGAATTGAGTGGTGGATCTGATGAAGATATAGACGAGTCAATCGGTTAGTGATTATACCATTAATATAATTTAATTTACCTTCATCTTGTTATAACGTAATTCTCTAATTTTCATATCAAATTTAGACAACCGTACACCTATCAATTATTTCACAAACATTCCTCCCGTCGCCGATCCAAACCCAAGTCGGAAGCCAGACGCATCTAGATTAAGGGAAATACGTAAACGCCTCGATAGTGGTCATTGCTCTGCTAAAGAAGTTGAATCTATCGCTGCCGAAGTTATGGATGAATGTGTAGAATTATCAAGCGGTAAGCTTTATCCTTGTAACTTTTTGTGAAATTGCAATAGACACAATACAAGAGAACAAATATAAAATAACCTTTTTTATTTTAAACCTAAGATTACATTGGGAATACCGTGATTCAGAAGTTATTCGAGCGATGTACCGAGAACACTAAATTGAAAATGTTGGAAAAGATAGCACCTCACATGGCTACAATTGGTATTCATAAGAACGGTACCTGGGCTGCTCAGAAAATCATTGATTGCGCAAAGCATCCTTCACAGGTATGTATCGCAAACGTTATATAATGCTCAAATTACATTCGAAATAACATATATACATGTTGCGATAACTATCTTCTTTCATTTGCAGATGCATTTCATTACTTCTAATGTTAGACCATATACGCCACCGCTACTGCTCGATCAATTTGGAAATTATGTCGTACAATGCTGTCTGCGTCTTGGGCCAAGTAGGAACCAATTTATATTCGATGCAATGGTAGATAGATGCTGGGAGATTGCTCAGGGTCGTTTTGGAGCACGAGCCATGAGAGCATGCTTGGAAAGCCAGCATGTAACTAAAAAACAACAGGTGAGCATTAGTGATTATTGTATATATCGATCAATACCAATGGTGTATACTTACGTCCATTATGTTTACGTTTCAGAAACAAGTTGCGATCGCAATAGTGATGAATGCTGTTTCGCTCTCTACAAATCCGAATGGGGCGTTGTTACTTACATGGCTATTAGATACATCCCAGTTTCCTGGTCGATATCGCATCCTATCACCCAAACTTGCTCCTCATTTGGCACATCTTTGCACTCACAAATTAGCTTCACTCACAGTGCTCAAGATCATCAACCAACGGCATGAAACTGACGCGAGAGATTTAACCATTTCCAACTTGTTCTTTTCCGCGAATGACCAAGTACTGGAGGAGGTGCTCAGTGACCAAGTACACGGTGTTGGTGTAGTCCAAAAAGTACTAGCCAGTCCGTATGTTGAACAAGCTGAAAAACAAAGATTAGCCGAGAAGGTCAAACTTGTCCTTGGAAAATTGAAGGTCCAGCAAGTTCAAGGATACAAACGTCTCCTGGAAGAACTCGGCATGGTTAGCGATCCCTCTCTTAACGGTGCCTCAATGAGCTCAGTTCAGAATTCAGTAGGAATGCCTCCGCCAAATGTCTTTCCACCAGATCTCGCCGCCGCCGCTGCTTATTACGCCGCCGCCGCCCATTTCGCCGGCCAACAATTACAGCAAGCAGCAGCAAGCACACCTACTTCAGAGAATCCATCGTCACCTCAACACGAGCAATTGTCCCCATCTGCGAGTGCTCTTCCACTATCGAGCGAGGCATCTACCCCATCCGCTGGCCCTTCAGTGTCCAGTCCGTTGAATACACCGAATGCATCATTTCCACCTGCGCCACCAATGTTCATGAATACAATGCCCATGACCGCACATCCTCATTCGGGCTTTCCTCCAACCGGACCATACCCTCACATGGGTTCTTTCACTCCGTTCGTTCATCCGTCAACTTTGGCAGCGGTTGCAGCTGGAATGTATGGACATCCGGCTATGTTTAATGCAGCAGCTTATCCCTATATGCTAGCCGCAAGTGGTGCTATTCCACCGCCGATGTTGAATACAACTCCTCCGCCTCCTGTTAATAATAATAATGTCACTAATCCACAAATGCTTGCAATCCTTCAACAACAACAACAACTGCTAATGCAGCAGAGCCAGCAGCAACAACAGTCACAGCAACAAAATCAAGCTCAATCGCAATCGCAAGAACAGCAGCCACAGAAGCAGACCATGTCAGTTTCATCCAGTGGCAATGATGTGCAGGCGCAGTCTTCTCCGGAGACGGCGATGGCTAATGTCTCTCCACCAACTTTATCTCGAAGTTCCGATGGGCAAGTTCAGCAGGAATAATTTATTCTGTGGGGCCTTTTTTTTTAATTTATGATTCACGAAGTTCATGTATTTTGTGGGAATAGTCAAGTCTTGAGAGTTTATGTATCATATTATATGAATAAACCATTAGTCAGTTTCGAATTTTCATTTAGGAATAACAATGCTTGACATTTAACTAAACAAGGCGCTATGATGAACTTATCAGAACGTCATTTAATGCGATTAGACAAAATTATAGCTTGAATCTTTTATTATCCGTAGTAACCGATTTGGGTCATTTAGTTATTTTCCGGGTCACTTAATTAATTTTAATTGACAAAAACGATAATAGCAATGAATCTTCTGTATTCACATATTATATATTATATTTACAATAATATTAATATTATATGCACACAATTACAATATGGGGCTTAAACACTATTTCGTTTTAATTTGTGTCTTTTCTTTTTGAGTGCTACGAATTCATCACTATTACTTGGAAGTTTGCAATCTGGCTACTCTTGATTTTGCCTTTTACCTCAGACTTTGGCATAGCTTATGGGACAAGGTGCTTGAAAACTAGTCGCTCTCCTACGCAGTTGCTTGCGTTCATTAGGCAGCCATCACTTTAGTTTTAGCTCTAAATAATAATAATAATAATAATAATAATAATAATAATAATAATAATAATAATAATAATAATAACATTTTCGTGTGACCACGGACAATTTCCTTTGCCATGTCCGGGTTACTTAGTATTAGCATCTTTAGCGTCATTGTGATCAATAAATGACGCAAAACGCGATAAATACACGATGCCACGCCCGCGTAGGGTTAATGGGCAATCCATCTGATGGCTTCTTCGGCAAGACTATTTCTTTTTTAATCTCAAACTTTTATGTAGAACTCACCCTTCTTCCGAACAGTTTTACACAATCTCTTGGGTATCATTCGATCAACTTTCTGTCATCTCCCACATCGAATGCGCATGGCTTTGAAAACAGCAAATCTTTAATAGCAAGTTCTGTTGTCGATGGATATAACAATGATCATTGCCTATTACAAGCTACTTGCAAGGTATTCTTCACTACTTGTGAGACGCGAGATATTTTTCTACATGATCAAGGCTTTTCTGTCTTTTTCGAGACCAACATCCCTCGCCAAGTGGGTCTCGCGGGCTCGTCGGCAATCATTACGGCATTTTGGAAGGCGTTAATGAAATTTTATAATGTAGATGATGATAAGATACCATTGAGCGAGCGACCATCTTTGATTTTATCGGTGGAAAGAGATGAGTTGGGCATTGCGGCTGGGTACATGGATCGAGTTATACAATCGTATGGCGGACTAGTGTTTATGAACTTTGATAGAGAACAGATGGAGAGCCAAAACGTGGGATTCTATGAGAGAATTCCATTGGAGAAATTGCCAAAGGGCTTTTTGTTGGTTTATGAGGGAAACCCCAGTGATTCCGGTAAGATCTTATCTAAAGCGTATACAAATTCATATTTGCAGACTATTAAAAAATGGTTGATTTCGCAAACAGGCAAAATACATAGTGACGTACGTAAACGTTGGGAGGCTGGTGATGAGAAGGTGAAGATTAACTATTAAACTATTGTATGTCAATGCCACCTTTGATTCACGTCATCAAACTCTTGTCTTTAGGTAATCGAATCAATGAAATGCTTTGCCGCGTTCGCTGAAAAAGCTCGTGAAGCACTTTTTGATTCCTCCCACAGTCAATCAACTAAACGCAAGATTATTGCCTCTTTAATGAACCAAAACTTTGATCTGCGACGTGAGCTATTTGGTGACGCAGTTCTTGGTAACGCAAATTTACGTATGATAGAACTAACTCGGAAACATGGGTTTGCTGCCAAATTCACAGGATCAGGCGGAGCAATATTAGGTTTATGGTCTGGCGATATCGATGAAGAATCAGTAGAAAATGTAGAGAAATTAAGATTAGATTTACAGAGAGAGGGCTTCATGCTTTGTTGGATTGAACCTGAACTAGGTGATTTGTAATTGCAAATAAATAGATGTACGAGATATTTACACGGAATAAATGGAATTGTATTGACTGATGTATCCCCTTAATAGGTATTACGGACGGAATGATAGAAGGAAAGCGTCTAGTGTTTGCTAATTGTTTTAAGGGGGGGTTGAAAATTAATCCTCAGGTTATGAATTCGGTGAATTTGCTTTGGCCTGTAATATTCGCAGCATCATGCGACACGGTTAGCCGACCAAACCCGTTAATTGCATTTTTTACGCTTATCATAAAACTAGGCGGACGTTCTACGGTTTCAATGCTACTCTCACCATCCCCGAGAGAGTCCGTGTCAGGTAATCGGAAGTTACGCTCGTTACAACGTGATCGTCGTCTAGCACTGATGAGAGCTACCATAGCCACGGCAGCAACGCAAACAGCAACCGCCAGTATTACAGGCTTGATAATGTTGCTCTGGACCGGGGGCTGGTTGTATCCTGCAGGACCACCGCTTCCACTATTATTACCATTACCGGGACTATCTGGATCTGCGGGTTTGGGCTGATTGGGATTGTTCGGTGATGCTCCGGGATTGTTGTTGGGGGAACCGCCAGGTACTGCTGGGCTGTAGCTGGGAACTGGCTTACCTGGCTTACCTGGCTTGCCATTGTTGCCATTGTTGCCATTGTTGCCATTGTTGCCATTGTTGCCATTGTTATTATTACCACCATTGCCTTTTCCATTACCGTTGTTGCTGCCACCGTTGTTGCTGCCATTGTTGTTGCTATTATTTCCAGCACCGCTGTTATTTCCATTGTTGTTGCTGCCACCGTTGTTGCTATTATTTCCAGCACCGCTGTTATTACCGTTATTTCCACTGTTGTTACCAGAACCGTTGCTTCCGCCATTATTTCCTTGGCCATCCGTGCCATGATTTACTGGTGACGGATGTGTTGGCAGTGAAATTGTTGGCAGCGTAACTGACGGCAGTGTAATTGATGGCAGCGTAATTGATGGCGGCGTAATTGCGGGCGGCTTCGGCGGCGGGACTTTTGGAACTTTTGGTCGCGGAGGCGGAACTTTTGGTGGGATTGGAATCGGTGGTGTCGGGGGTCTTCCACTACCGCCGCCGCCATTTCTACCGCCGCCGCCATTTCTACCACCGCCGCCGCCATTATTACCACCGCCGCCATTATTACCACCACCCCCACCATTATTACCGCCGCCGCCATTATTACCACCGCCGCCATTATTACCACCCCCGCCATTATTACCACCACCCCCGCCATAATCGCCCCAATCGCCCCAACCGCCCCAACCGCGACTTTTTAGCTTTTTTGATGTCGACTCATTTGACGGGTGTGTACCGAGAGATGACGGATCCTGTTGACTTGAACTAATCTCACTGGGATCTTTCCTGAGATCCGATAAGCTCGATCCAGTCGAGTCCCTAGCAATCTTGGTGGGTATTTTGACTTTTTGATTCAAGGAGTTTAAATGTCAATCATCGAAACGGGAAAATAAAAATTGACGGGTTAATGTAGACGTATATGGGAATTACTTACATGATAATAACTTTATTTGTCTATAAGATCGAACTTTTGTGGAGAGAAGGGATAATTGTGAGTTTACTCATGTGTATATGATTATCTACGAGTTAATTCCAATATTAGTTATTTGTGATCTTACTTGTCGTTTTACGTTGTTCTGTCCATGGCTCATCCATGGCTTTTCCTTTTGTCTTAACAACATTAAATATCAATTCTTTTTGTTGTCGTAGAACGTCATTAATTGCACGAGCTCGAACAAACCCTGTGGTGAATAATGATCGGAAGCGTAATTCAGCAAAAAGTAACAAGAGCAGAAATTGTCAGTTTATCAGAATCGATTTGCAAGTGTTCGAAAATATTTAACTTTTCGATTTACTTTATTTTCTCTGGAGCTTTACCCATTCCTTACATACCACAATCGCCAATCACCGATAATACAAGTATAACAATGATGAGACTGATAGAATTCAGTCTCATTCCAAGAGGATATTAATGGATGTAGAGGGTTGGAGGAAAAGAGGGAAGAGGGTGAATAAAGGAAAGGAAGGGAGGGGTAGAAAGTGGCGAATGCCGACAACTTCTTCCACCGACTTAAACTACTGCAAGGGATCTCGCTCGGTAGCTTGATGTAATTTATTCCCTCATGAAACACGATAATAATGATAGAATGCGGAAGGAAAAGGACAAAAAAGAAGGTAGGAGTTGGAAACCGTGTGTACTTAAAGGCGATATTGGTGTGCCAAATAGGATTTCTCTATGCAATATCTTTGAACGGTAAATATGAGTTTGTGCATCTGTAATAAGTTTTGATTAACAGGTACAACATAATTATGAACACTGATAACAGACATTGTTAAAACTATTGGAATGAGTATTTATTCGTTAGATCTACAAAATATAAACATAGAAGTAAGCACAATCTGACATGGACATATATGGAAGGGAATTAGTATATATGGGAATAGAAATATAATGAGAATTACAAATATCTGAACGTGGAAATGGTACAACGTTACATATGCGATATGTAACTTTTTATTAAAAACATGTTATTATTGGTGAATCGATCTATTGGTGACACAACCGAAGTATTGGCAGCATATTGTACACGAATTAAACTATAATATAGTACAGCTAATAACTGGGTTGTTTTTTTCCCATTTGCTCATCGAGGGTGTTTTTTATGCGATTTATAAAATTCAACCAATGAGCGAATGCTGACAGTGCTTGCAGATGAATGCTAATTGATTTCCATCAGCTTACGACATGACACAACAATCCAAGAAAAAAGCTCTTGCGCAAGGTTATTGTTCGACTCGATGTCACACAAACCCATATTGCACTAAGACCAATACGTGCGGAAATTCTAACATTATTCAGGCCACTATAATAAGTATACACACCAATCTCACTTCCTTTTACTTGTTGATTGCAACACTTTTAATATAATTCGACTTTTAACCCGTACCGCAGGACGTCTGTTCTTTGTATTAAAAGGCGACAATGTTTACATTCCGGTTGACGATACACTAGCGATCATAAACGAATTACTATCTTGAAAGGGGCTTTAGGTACAAGATAATTTTTCCAGAGAAAGTTTCGCCAATAAGAACGAGTTAGAAATATAAATGTCTTTGCGATTCCAACTAGTCAATGTCACACCAATTAATATTAATATTAATGTCGATATACCATGGAACCAACTGGTACTATTATCACTGCGGGATGCAGACAACGTCACTAGGTGTAAATGTGTGACACAATTAGCGGGATGTTTTTCTTATGATTATGATAGAAACTATATTAGTGAGCTTATTATAACCCACATCTAATAGAACAGCCTCTTTCTCTTACAATTTTACAGATCGAAAATTTGAGTCTTAATATTTTAGCAAGATACATACATATATCATTTTATGTGATTGAATTTCGAACATTAATTACCGTTCGGTTTAATCAAGGCTTAATAAAGCTACTTGTCATCGTATAATACCCTTATTTACAAAGCACAGCAACACAACGTGACAAGAAAATTTACATGTGAGCAAATAACTTTTTTGCGGTTGGTTTAATGTTCGCCCTGGATAAGATTGGATATCGGCCCGCTTGGCATCTGAAAAATGAACATGACATAATCATTAAAAAGTTGAATTGCCTATTATGATTATTGAGTGTCTTTGCTGTTAGCGTATATATTTTATCAAATAACAATATTCTACCATTTTGTTCTTTTGTTGATAAATAAATTAATTATAATACTGATAAGTGATAGTCCGACTTGGAAAAACCGTCCAGGCCAAAACGGGAAAAGTCTAGCAGAACATCAATCCTGATAAATAATCCGCATCTCCCACATAGTAATAAGGTTTATTTAAACGAAGAAGGCACATGTAGTTACTACTTTTTTCACTTGAAAATCCTGAGCATCTGTGCTTCGGAAAATGTTTGATCCTATTAGCCCATATCCCAATGCTATGAACGGAATAATTTGCAACTTTGTAATGGCCGAGAATTGTTTTAGCAATTTATTAATATGTGAAATTTGAAGGCAGTTAAGTTGCATCGCACTAATACTAACCGAAGAGAATGTAAACGGGAACCACCGTAGTGACAAATAAACATTAATTGTAGACAACGCATTCAGTCATTGTTAATGTTGTGATAAAGAAGATATCAATTACGGCTATACGTTCTACCATCAATGTCTGATATACTACAGTATTACGTATTAGTATGCTATTCACGGATAATCTTTTCTTTTGTTTTGTTCATATGTAACATACCTTTAACGTAATCATTCCAAAGCAACAAATAATAGTAAAGACTCCCAATCATAAAACATGCTCATCAAATTGTTGGGTTAAGTAAGATGAAAGACGTTCAATATTTGTAAACGTTGTAGCAATAGTGTGGCTGTAAATAAATGCTTTTTATATTACTGATTCTAACGAAAAACATGATTGTTCAATCACAATAGAATTAGTGCTCTTATCCATACGTCGAAAAAGAATAAAGTAGGGTTGATCAAAAACTGCATATGCAAATAAACAGATGAAGACAAGACTTGTTGCAAACAGACAATGACCTCTGTAATATTGAGAAGCGTAATTGATTTATTATGTATTATAGTAATAGTAATATATCTATTATAAACAGTTCTAAAGATCACAAAAATTATTTTATACAATTTATCGGAGAATGTCGGATGCATCTAGACGTTGCTTTGAACAGCTGAAGCCACTAGATTCGTGTTTTCAGACGAAAGCTGAATGCTTACCAATGCTTCAGATAATGTTTGACCACTTCCGTCTATAGAACTTAAGAATCGCACAAGTTCCTTACATAACTGTTTAGAAAAGGGTTGTAATTAGTTGACAGATAATTGAAAAAGTTGAAAAGAAAGGAAGAAGTCTTACCTCATAATCTTCAGCTTCCATTGCTTTGGATAATAAGCGTATCGTATCCTATAAAATAAAACCGTTTAGGAATTGTGTATCTAATACTATACGGCATAATATTAATACAATATTGACAAACCCAACCTGACTACTGTCGGCTGATGGTTCCAATGTATGCAATACCAAAAGATAAGATGTCGCTGTTTTGAGGAGACCAGTACTCATACATTTCTGAAAAGTCGCAGACAGTCAGCAACTTTTTTGTATTAATTGAAGCATAACAGTTGTATGTGGATTTTTGTTTACCTCAAAGAGATCCTTTGGACTTCCAACAATAGAAAACAAATAATCCCAGAGTGCTACTTCTGTTTTTCGAGCACATCCAACAATAGCATCTAATGCTTGTGGGAAATGATTTAAGAACTTGACCACGCGCGGAAGCACTGCTCCTGCATGACAATATTATTAGAGACGTTATCAGCTGATATTATGCATAACACAGGTCATTGTATACTTTACCATGCCCTGTGCCCACAGATAATTCTGCCTCATCTTCTAGTACTTGATGTAATAAGACTTCAAGTGCGTGTCCAAAATATATTAATTGTTCATAACTTCGCGCAAATGCAACGGCCTCTTCGTCAAGACTGTTTACATGGTAAAGAGATATTAGAACAAGATAGCATTTCGATTTTAATGAACCTTTTTTGTTATTTCTATTTACCCTCTCGTAAGCATATATCTTATTATATATTGCAAAAATAAATGTGTCTACAAATAAACAGTTAATAATGTCAATTGGATTCATTATTTCTGCAATGGACAATCTCATACGTACATTTGTTGCAAATTTAAATACAACAAACTCGAGAGAACTTCGTACGGATACTTGTTGTTCAGCACCAACAATGATTCCTTTGTCGAGGAGAACGGCTATATTATAGATAATAATGTTTAGACTAAAAAGAATAGAAATCGACCATCAAAAATTTAAGTCGAGATGGAGCTTACATAATGGATAGAAACCGAGTTTAATGTTCAATGCCTCCCTTGGAGTCGCAGATAATGCCTCGTCATGCCAGCTGGACGCAGTTTCCTCATCTGACCATACATCCATCCATATATTAACACCTTTTCCATCGCACGCCCACAAGGAATTCTTGAGACTTCCAACCCCTCTATTGGCCATCCAATAGAATTCAATCCTGTCGGCGAGAACATGAAGATCGTATTGCACTTCACCAGCGTCGCTCTATTCGAAAAGATGAATGCATGATTGCAGCTATAAGATATTGTATGCCATACAAGCATACGGATCTGCTATCAATTACCTTTTGCGGAGTAAGTAATACAAGCTTCCCATCTATTAAAAAGATTATTGTTGCTGCTTGCATGCTTTCTGGAGTAAATGCCGCTGAATGAAACAAGATATCGGTTAATGATGAAAATAAATATAAACACACACTATACACTTTATACTCTGTATGATCATTACTTTGCGCTTTTGGTTGAAACCACGAAATCGATCTAACGCGTGCTGCTGCATGTATCACGCCCATGAATGATATCTGCTGAGCTAATTCCAACATAATGATACCCTTTCCTGCCTCATTTGGTGGTGTTACCATGAGATAATGATACATAAGATTGTCGTCACAGTAAGCAAGCAATGCATTCTCGACGATGGTCAGATATAACACATTGCTAGGAACTTTGACACATTGTATCATATGAATATTATCTAGATTTGTTTCTCGCGAATATGAGCGAATCTGCTCCAAAAGAAAAATAGCAATATGTTTAATTGTTAAATGGAAATCCGTGAGGTTTGAATGGATCAATAAAATAAATCATACGCACTTCATGAGTGTGTGTCTTCGTGTTTTCACATGCGGCAAATAAAATTTGTCTAAACCAGAGGAGTCCGCCACGCACTTTGAATTCTTTTTCCTACAGTGATACATATATTAACCAATGAACAATTGTCTCACAAGCATTGTTGAACAACCACAATACCTGTTGTTGGTTTCCAAATAATTTCCATCTACCAGAGAATACATTATAATGTGCTAAACCTCGCCGCCCAGCTATAGCAATATAGCGACCATCGCTGCTAATGGAAGCGTACTGTGATAAAGTATTGTATTAGTGGTAAGAAAACGGAGATATCCACTATAAGTAAATATAGAATGTACCTTAATGGGCCAATTATCACTTATGTACATGGTTGGTATCTAAAACCAGGCAAGGAGCATTAAATTATCATCAACTTAAATCCTATTCAAATTCTTTAGTATACGATACCTGAATGTGTTGCCAGACGATAGCTTCTGGGTTTATTGCGCTGAGGTCTTCCTGATCCCCACCACGATAAAGTAGCAGGCGATCATCCATCTGCAAAAATCCTCTCTTTGCATTATCCTAGTAATCACAGATAAATTTCAAGCTCATTATATATATATGCACACGCATTTGCACAAATATCGTATGCACTACCTCCCAACATTAGTTATAGGTAACGCACTTACTGAGCTATGAAATCCAGTCACCGTCGATCTTGCAAATGGAATCGTGTACAGTTGCTCTTCTAAAATGGATAGACTATAATCGTTAATACTCATGACTTCAAATCCATAGTTCAGCTAAAGCACATACAATTACCAGTTGATGTCGTTGCCTGATGCAAGACAAAAAGTTCACAGTTTCCTGAACTCCAGAACTTCAAGCAAACATTTTAAATAATAAACGTGAGTGGTTCTTTCTGTCTAAATTAAATGTCAATATAAATTATATATTACCATATCGCTCACTCCATGCACAAAAGCATCTTGGCAGCTGGTCTGACTACAAGTAAAAGTAAATAACATTAGTATAAAGGCGTCTGAACCTATGTTGTTAATGTGATGTATTGCTTACAATGGCTGTAGTTCTTCATCCTGAAGCGTAGACATCAACAGCCGTCCATAAACACTCCATAAAGCTAACCCTTCATTACACCATCCAACTGCAAGCGCATAACCATCGGAGGTCCACGCGAGAGAAGCAACTGCACCAGTGGAAACGCGTGTTTCTGTTGGTTAAAGACTATATGAAACAACGAATTGTGCATGATGAAAATAATAATTATACTAATAAAGGATATTTGATGATAATGATTCCAAACTTTCTTCGATCGTCAATTTATGCGAGAAATAAATGCCTCCTATATAATTCTTTGCATAGTATAAATAGACCGCGCCTCTAAGAAAAAAAAAAGTGACGCATTAGGACATAATAAGACGGCTTAAACTTCACAATCAATTCGATGTTCGTAACTCACCCCTCGGTTCCAACGGCTATAAGCGAAAATTTAGCATTTATTGATATGCAAGTAGCCTTCATCTCGGTTGGCATCCGACTTTCGCCGACACCGTGAATACAAAATCCAGACCAATAGATCGGCGGGACTTTACTCTTCTCTTCCTGCTGTTAATAAGGGAGAGATATAAGAACAAGCTATCGCATATTTTGCATATGTATATGTGTTTTTACATCTAACTTACTGATGGTCTGTAGTCAACATACTGAGCTGCATATGCTTTGCCGTCTGTTGTGATCCATCCATAGAGTTCTATTTTACGATCATAACAAATATGCAAAATACTGGCTGAAAGTATAAATGATGATAATGTCAGTCAAAATCCTGACATTATTGTGCAAGTCAATAATCTAAATTGATGGCAAATTACCTCCCCTTGATTCCATGAAATCTAGTCTACCGAGGATATTAGTTTTCGTCCCTCGCGGCTCCGCTTGCCACGGAATACACTGAATAGCCGGAGGGTTTTTGGTTGTCACAACCAAATAATCTTCCGTACCGACCCCACTATAATCACAGAACAGGTAAACAATTGAGGCACGCGTCCTTAATAATCTGAATTATATTATATACTCGTAAAACTCACGTCTCCATGCCTGCATCAATCCGAATTGTCATTCGGAATTTTAGCAAAAATGTCTTTATTCCATGTCCTTCTCCTGCTCCTGTAGCGTAATGATGTGTATTTTTGCCGAATTGATATTTGAAACTCTTATCATCAAATGGGAGAACACTATAGGTGAGTAGACAATTTTGCGTTGTCTATATAGTTATGAGACGGACAATGAATCAATATTCGTGAAGCATGCGACAACGATTATGAGGAAACACAAATATTGATGGTAAAGCAACCTGAACAATTACTAGGGTTCCGTCTGGTTTCCAAAAAATGTTCTCATTTGCACCATATTCTTCAATTGACTTGGCAGTGCGCGTTATCTGTGATATCAATGCGGTTGGCTATAATAACAAATGAGAAAATCCGAAAATTAATGAATAAAAGCGCTTCTACCAAATGCAACGGGTAACGAAAGATTGTAACTAGTGACAAAAGTCACTCAGACTTTGACAAAGATAGCTTCCGGGCTATACTATCTTCATTATATTTTACATTTAAGATGTCCGTGTTTCCCATTAAAAGAGACAAGTCCTTTGCAGAGTCGAACCAATTGTAGGTTTAATCTATGTATTATTATCTATATCTCAGAATCACTTTTAATCTATGTATTATTATCTATATCTCAGAATCACTAATTAACCAATAGGTGCTATAACAATTGATACATATTAGTAACTATGAACGAACAAGTTGAGGAAAAGTTGGTGAATATCAATATATTGCAATCGCCATATTTAATTCTCATTAGTGACTGAACTATGTTGCCTCAATTCTTTCAACTGGTTGCAGAATGCGAACCTATGTATAAGTAATTATAGGAGCCAGTATCTCACGGTTCTCCTTGGTCCAAGGTCTGCTCAAATCTAAATCTAACACAAAAGAGATTGCTTACCCGACAACTCCAAAGTTGAATAGAGTCTTTAGTTAGAGTTATAAACAGATTTCCGCTTTTATTGCGTCGCATATGTAAAATCACTGGGGACACACCGATCTCTTCACCCTCCTCATTGAGCACCGTCCTCTTCTCGTCAATGCTCCCGACTTTTAAACTATTCGGTTTACTGACGGTTAGAACCTTTGCTATGCCACTTGTCCAGTACATCAATATATTATTTATTCAAAGACTTGGTATGAACTTTCACACACACTAATACCTTCATTACAATCGGGAATTCAATAATAAATCACGTGTATGTTCGTTACCTGTCTGCAGATCGCTTTATAAATGCTTGCGCAGGTAACGTCATGTTGCATTCCAGGATGACGCCCTCCAATTCGCCAGAATACAAGGTTATTTCTACGGTAGCTAATGTATTTGGAATTAATCAAAGAGGCGACATTTTGCTTCACTTAATTTCTGCTAATTCTTTTCTAACTTGACTTTGATTTTTATTTCATTTTCGGCTTAAATTTTCCGCAAGAGTACGTAGCATCTGTCCATCTGTGTACTCGTCCTCGTCATCCTTCCATTTTTTCCCATTTAGGCAAATCATAGTCAATGTGTTGTCTCTGGTATTCCTTCTCTCACCATTTGCTAGTTTTTCTGTTTCATTCGTCAATTTATTCTTTTCCTAATTTCCTGTAAAACAGATCTAAATTAAGCAAATCATCTATAAAAAGAAAAGGGGGGTTGGGTCTGAGCCGTTTATGTTGTTTAGAGTTTTGGTGGTTAAAACTTGGGTTTCTTTAATATTAAATAATGATGATAACCGCCAAATACCCGTTATCAAGAGACCTTCCCAGAGGGACGAAAAGTGACGGAATTAACTAATAAAGTGACTGATAACATGGCAACAATTATTCGTAACGACCTTTCGTGTGAAATTAAACCAATAACATCAAACATAACGATGGTAGTGACATTCTTGCTGTATTTCTCACCCTCTCAACTTTATGAGATTTGTTTGGAAGCTGGACAACGTCGTTAATATCTATGGTAGTGATCGAACGCACTCGAATTAATTTGTTGTGACAATTACATTCTCGCCATTGTTGCCTACACGTATTCATTATTCATGTACTAAATATGGCATTCGCTGTATGCCAGCCAATAGCCGTTAAACAGGATGAGTGTTCAGGCGTCGTTTAGTCATGTTTCTCTTGTTCGTGTAAATCTAATTAAGTTAGTCCAACCCATGTGTGACCAATAAAGGACTTGAAACCTCAATAATTAAGTTAGTCGATTTGACTATTATTTGGTAAATTAATAGAACTGACAAATTCTGACAATCAGATTCTTATTTGGTAAACGGAGCGCGAAGAACTGAAAAAAACAAATTCATCTTCTACGTCTAATCCTATTCGTGTATTCTTTTCGCTTTAATATTAATCGCACGACAAGAAACAATGGAAAACAGGAACGCGATGTAGTCACATGGTTAAAATTTTCACACTAATTGGGATTGTGGCGCAATGCCCTGAATTCGTCTGAGGCGTCAATGTGCCTATAAATGCCCGCAGCTATGCAGTTGTTCCTTTTCCTCATCTTTTCATCCCGCAACACCGAGGAGGAACTTTTATAAGCTGCTGATACTTTGATGAGTGGGACACAAAACAGTACAAGCTCGAAGACTTTACCTGCTTTGCATGGTGTTAAAATCAAGACTAAGAAGGTATGTCATTATGGCAGGGATTTTAATCGATTAGTATGCTAAGCTTTGTCTTTCTATCTTTCAGAGTGTGCAAAAAGCACAAGCCAAGTACGAACCAACTGGTATGTTTGCGTATGTGTGTTAGGTCGAACTATTTGCGCCCTTTATTTAATATGACTCGATTTTGTTTACTGTACAGTATTCAGAGATAATATTTTAAAGGCTTTAACTGCTGCCAAACCTGGCGACTTTGAGGACATTGCTCAACAGTTAGACCGTGCTGGAAACGACCTTGAATATCACAAATACGGCGAAACTTTATTTGAAATTCTCTTGACAGGTGGTATATTAGGTATGTGTATATTCAATTATATTTCTTGAAGCGAATCGTCCATTAGCGCATTCTTTTGTCACATGAATCACCAGCCACGTGAGGGGGGACAAATAAGAGAGATTCGGCGTATTAGTATGCATATATGAACATTCTGGATCTCACACTGACGATTTGGGCGTATTAGATGCATATATGAACATTCTGGATCTCACACTGACGATTTGCACATACTGACACCACACACTTATATCTTTTAATCCTAGCGCCTGGAGGAATCATCAGTCAGGATGGAGCCCCACGCAGTCCATTTTCAATCTTCGCTGCAGAAGATAATACCGAGACTATCAAGAAACACGTCGAAGTTTTCGATAAGCTTATCCGTCGTTATAGATACTTGCAGCACATCTTTGAAGATACCTTGAGGAACTTGCTTCAATATATTAACAAATGGAGCACTGAAGAAATCAACAAGTTAGCCACTGCAATAGGCTTGCTTACATCAGGGGGATTGGCCAATGTCAATGTTTTGACTGTTTTGTTCAAAGAACATTTAGTCAAAGAAGGTAAAGAGTTGCATCTTCCTCAACGAAGAACAGATAAACTTTTGGATAGAAAAACAAATTCATGACTGAGATGATCATTAACGCCCCACCTATTCTCTGTCTTCCATAAATTATTACAAATATTAATTAGGCCTTTCTCTACAGTTTGTCACGTCTGTCTTCAAGGCGTACCTGAATGAACAAAGTATTGATCATTTAGGTTCATCACTGGAAAGAGCCGGTATCCATAAGAAACTTATGGAATTCTTCCCACCAAACAAGCGCGATGAGGAATACTTTGCTCGATATTTTGAGGCTGAAGATATGAAACAACTTGTCGAATATCACAATAAGAAACAAAAGGCAGCAATGAAAGATCAAACTATCGAACATGTGAAAGAGCTGTTAGATGGGGAAAGCACTCCGGCAGAGGTTATTACTTACCTAAGACATCAGATGAAGGAAAGCCGTTGGCAGGAAGCAGATTTTGCGCAGATTGTCTGGGAAGCCCTCATTGGGGCAGTCGACTGGAGTTCAAGGCCAGAACAGATTGAGAGTCAAGCTTTGCGGCAAGTCAAGGTAAAATAAAAAATAGATGATAATGTGAATTATAAATTTATGCGGGACAGTCAGGACTGATTTGTTTAACACTGTAACACTTCTTTTTTACGCATACTATTTCCAGGACTGGTCAAAAGTTCTTGCCGCGTTCTGTACAAACCCGAAGACAGAGCTTGCACTCCTTCAAAAGGTTCAAGTTTATTGTTACGAAGATGCTAAATTGATGAAGCATTTTCGTCAAATTGTTCAGATTTTGTACAATAGTGATGTTATTTCTGAGAGTGCTATCTTGTATTGGGCAGAAAAAGGAGCCAAGAATCAAGGAAAGACTGTCTTCTTGAAGCAGATGGAGCCATTTATCCATTGGCTGAAGACCGTTGAGAGCGAATCTGAGGAAGAGTAAAGCATGATTTAATTGTTATGGGTAAACTGTGCGTAATAATTTGTACGAACTGGCGAAAGAGGGAGAGGTGTGCGGGATTTAAAAACACTCGTGTGTATTTGTGATAAGATACGAATCATATAGAGTTATAGTTTTTATTAGTATCAGTTATTTTCATTCAGCTTTTGTAACTGACTTCTTTGTTTGCTAAGTCAGTGGGCTGAGCCTTAATTTACAGAGATTGCCCGTAGAGTAAAATCTTTTTATTTATATATTGTCAGAATAGCGCGCCAAACAAATAGAAGCACTACATATCCTATTTTCTTTCAGATCAAGTATAAAGATGCCATTGTTTATCACGTATTTACAAAATTGTTCCAACCTCGGGCAATTACATATCTCATGCATTGTGCATCACCTCTTGATTCGACGGCAGCAGATACTTTCCGCCATAAGCCTTTCGTGCCAGTATATTTACGACAAGCTTCTTTCAGTGCCTTAACCTCAGCAGGAAACCAACTCCCTCTATTATACTCGTATTTGCATTTTTTATTTAGTAATTTTTTTACCAACAACTTCAGATACGGTTTGGATCTATGAGGGAATGCCTCTTCGATTTTGTCCATAATTGGACCATGTTCTCTTAAAATAGCACATATTTTATAATGTTCGTCAAGTGACCATGACTCACGCTCCTCCTTTAGTTGTAGATCAGCATAATGTGCGCGAAGGCTTCGCTGAGGTCTGTTTAATATAGCCGATAACCTAGCCCACGAACCTCCATGCTCCTTGCAAAACTCTCTTATCAATTGATCCTCTTTTTCCGAATATTTACCACGCTTATTAGCGCTTAATCTTCGCCATCGATCCGCAAGAGTTTCAGGTAAACGTTCTGGAAAGTTTTTTGAAAATTTCTCAGCAATTATCGTCCATGGCAATCGAGTTTTTACACCTTGCTGTTGGACTAATTCTTTCAATGCTTCGTCTTCAGCTGGAGATGCAGCACTGTACCAGAACAAAATAGGATTGCTCTCAAGGCGTTTCTCCCAAAGGTCATATTTGCGGCTCAATTGACGAGAACTTCTCGTTCCATGAAAGACGTTATCTTGAATGTATTTCCACTCGCACCCATGATCTTTAACAGCCCGAATAAGCTTTACCAGCTCTTCTTCCGTCCAGAGAAGAGTTGTGCGTCGGGAATGTAGTTGACGGTGGGTATTCGTGGGTAGACTGCGAGGTTTTAATCGGTGTAGGCGTTTTGATGCTCGCAATAATGAAAGGCTGGTCATTATAATTTAGACAAGGGGACTATGTGATATGTAAAAAGTTTCAGACACGTGATCATAGAGAATGTTTGGCTGATAAGTTGCCGGTTAAGGTAAACTGTAGGATCTGATTACATTTATGATGTAATGGGCTGGAAAAATCAGTTTTATGAATATTTAAAATCAGATCTATTACTGTGATAACTGATGAAATCAATATTGAAGAATATAGATAGCATGAATAAAATGCCTTGACTATCACGTCATGTATTCGCATTCCCGAGTCTGAGGAATAGAAAGTCAACTGTCATGACAGCAATATTATATATTTCCAACCTACACTATATTGAACCCGACATTAATACTAATAATAATATACAAATAGTTGGCCATCAATCACATACAATCGAGACGAGAGATCTTATCGTTATGTGCAACATGGATGTTCGAGATAGAATCATATCACAAAAGTATTGCCTAACTGATCTCACAAACGCCGTACTAATTAATGCTCTGTCAGCTTTCGTATAAAAACCCCTTCCATACCCCCCAATTTCTTGGAAAAAAACTACAACCGTTGTATGAAACAAGAGACTATTTGTTATATTCTTACCAAATATCATCACTAAAGCCTATAATCGTAGCGTGATGGCGTCACTGCGTAGTGGTCTCTTGTCCGTGCTTCAGAACAATAAAATATGGGCCAATTCTAAAAAAGTTGATTTGACTTCTTTCCAAGACCGATCCAAGGGCCAAGAGCCAAAGATTCTTTGGTTTGGTAAATATTAGATCTATTCATCTATTGTTTACTGATACCTGAGATCTGTGTGATATCTGATCTAATTAATCGACAGGGTGCGCCGATTCACGTGTCTCACCAGAAATCATTACACAACTGGGCTTTGGTCAACTGTTTGTTAACAGGAATGTTGCAAATCAATTTGATCCAGAAGACACCAACTGTATGGCTGTACTCGAATTTGCTGTACAAAATCTCAAAGTAGAGGATATAGTCGTATGCGGTATGAAATCTAATCTACCTTGTGAGATATCCCATCTATCCATTACTTACATATTTGGTTTTAACAAGGTCATACTGGGTGTGCGGGTATCGAGAATTTTACTAACGATAAGCTGCCGGAAAATGTGAAAAAGTGGATTAAACCTATACAAAGTATATACAAAGAGCATGCTGAAGAGTTCGAGGGCATAAAGGATTCCAGTGCATTCAGTGGGTTGCTTGCCAATTTAAATGTTAAAGAACAGGTGAAGAAACTTGCTGAGACCCAAGTTGTTAAAGATGCATGGGCAGTTCCACAAAAGTTAAAAATTCATGGATGGATGTATCACCTGCCAACTGGGCTTTTAGAAGATCTCAAGGTCAGCATAAGTAATCCTAATAAAACGTCAACATAATATAATCTCTTAGAATCAAAATATCAACTGCTCCTCTGTATGAATGCGTCTCTGATAAGTTTACCTTCCCGGATTTGATATACTGGAGTCTCAATCATTATAAAACCGTTGTCCCTTTAAAAAAGAACTCCTGCCATGTAATTAACAATGGTTGAAACAGAATACATCAAATTTCCAAATGCTAGTCCACTTTTTGTTGAAAATTTCATTAATTGCCGCATCTAATGGTTGCAACTTGCTCGTATTCTGTTTCTCAAACGCAAGTTTTCGGCGCAAGAATAAGATGTAATGTCTCATCAACCACAATTTTCAGTCTAATATATTATTTCGCTCCCGTTGCACTACCCTTTTCGTGGGAGGTAGATTAGACCCATCTGCTATACGTGCTATTGTCGCTAACTTAGAGCCACGCTACATTATCGTAGTTGGATTGGGAAAAGCGCGCATTTAATTTAATTGAACATCTACCGTATTAAGGGCGGTAGCACGAAGCTAATCTGGTAACATCCCCGGTCGGAAGAACATCCCTACGCGAAAGATTTAATCGCTCTCCCAAACCCCAGACCATCCGCGACCGTAACAAGTTTTGCCTTCAGGCAACAACACTTCCTGATCCATCTCATCTAAAATTACATCTTGTTTCACATTAAGCGGAGAATTCCATTATATTTTGTACGGCCACTGAATGTAAAAGGTATTGTAACAGTGGCCAACTCAGTTGCAAAAAATTGCCCATCTTCAAGTATATTCATTGAATATAAAGTTAATCTGTTCTCTGCAGCTTTTAATATTAGTATTTCCAAATTACCAGCATTAGCTGTCATGACTATAAATTGGCACTTACCTACAAATTTTATTTTCTATCATCGAAATAATCGATTATTAGGCCGGACACTCCAATAATAATAAACGGTTCACTTAAGCTGGAACGGAATAGCATTGATTGATCAAGCTAGTAAGCTGTCTGTGGAACAAGAGTTCATATTAATTGCAAGCTCAATCTTACAATCCAAGTGATTTTTCAATAATGACATCAAATTAAAGATACCTGTCCTAAGTGTTTGTTTTTGTTTTTTTTTGTATCTCCAGCAGTGTGATCTGTAGTGGGATGCAAAGGTGGCCCAGCCACTTCAAGATGCCAAACTTCTTGATTATCTCTGACTTTGCCATCTTTGTAGCCTGCTCATGTGTTTCAATCCACTCAAATTTTACTGTTCCAAAGGTTGTCTCATAGTATTAAAAAGTGGTGCAATGTGGTATATAATAAACTTCTGCTCACTTATATTACTGGGTTAATGTCTACAATATTGTAACTTTGTTGAAGAAAAATGGCTTTCAGCATACTTGCTATACATTACTCATTGATATTGTACTGTTTGAGAGGAAATAATAAGAGAGAACTCACAATTCAAGTAAGACCTTTTCACAAAAGAGCCTAAATTGTTCATCATCACTGTCACTTTCAAACAAGACTTGAATTGCCTCCTTGAAGTGTTTTCCCACTTTCTGTAGTAGTAGAGATCAAAAAGTTTCGGTTTATCTGGCAGACACATTATAAAAATCTAGAGAATTCATTTACTTTGAATGCATTACCAAGGTAGTTTCTAATTGTTGGTGTCCATGTAGATAGATGTTGACTCTGAAAATACTTTGCTTGTTTGTAAGTAATAGTAATAGTATAGGCTTCAACTTATCTTTATCAGTTTGTAAAGAAAGACTAGCAGATGATGTATCAGAAGGAAAGACCATAGACAGAGGAGATAGAGGATGTGTCTTTGACCCCTAAAAAACAGAACATTAAAGTGTATATAATGTAACCAGTTTATCCAAATGAAAACCTACAATAATATGGGGCAGACTGCAACAAAACCAGACAAAGTGAACATTTTATAAATGAGAGACTGATTATGATGTGGCTGTAAAATTGATCAGTGTGACTGATGACGTTTTGAAAAGTAATAATGGTGCCCATTCATAACTTATGGACATTACTTTTAATTTTCACTTTATCATACCAGAATGTGAGGAATAAAAACCATAACAGGATTAATATATAGGACTACCTCTATATAAAAATATAAATATGAAACTCATTTACATTAAATCCACTATGGAACCAAAGAATTACAGCACTATTAGAAGCATTTTAAAGAAAGAACAAGGTGAAAAAATTGCACCTTACGTTTTTAAAATCAATGATACCCAAACACTCCAGGAATATCTAGATAAAGAAAAAATTACTTATGAAATCTATCAAGAAGCACGAAAAATAATAAACAATAAACGAGCATTAACCCTAACTAATAATGAACCAAGAAAGAAACGAAAACTTGAAGAAAC